GAAAAGAAAACCCAACTATGAAATAATCAATAAAAGACCTTTGAAAATGCAGAAAACTACAGAAAACGCTTAAGAACATATACTAAACATGTTTATATTATTGTTCAATCTATATAAGATTTAGATTGAATCTAAATCGGACGTCCGATATAGACTGTAATCTAAATCGGACGTCCGCAATAAGTTCAATCTAAATCGGACGGAAATCTAAATCGGACACAACATATATATAGCCGTTTAAGAAATTCAGCCGTTAACGAATCATTCGTAAACGGATTAGGACGGATTAGGACGTCCGAAACCGGCCACAAGATAATCAATGGCCGGATTCGGACGTTCGAATCCGACCACGCTCATTCTGGTCGCATTCGGACGTAACATATATATATAGCCGTTTACGAAATTCAGCCATTAATGAATCATTCGTTAGCGGCTGAATTTTGTAAATGGCTACGACATATACAGTTTCTAAGTTATATATATATTTATTTATAAATAAAGAACCACAATCAGGTCATAAGACCATGATGTCACAAAAGACTTCAAGATTCGAAGAGCTATCTGTCACAAAATGTCATGATCCGAAGAGCAGAGCACTGTCAAAAGGTTTCATGACCGAAATCACTCAACCGATTGGCATAAGCCGTATGATTAAAGATATAAGAAAAGTAAAATCTTATCATCTTATCATATAGTTGACCCCTTGGCCTCATTTCATTGACTGAGCAAATACAGGGTGACGAAAAATGATGGACTTACCCTTTTCGTAATGTAAGTTGTCAAATGGAATCCAAAACTACCGAGGATTTAGAGATTTGAAGTGCTTAGAGTGTAGTTGACCTCTTGGCCTCATGAAAAATTATGGGCTTACCCTTTTCGTAATGTAAGTTGTCAAATTGAAATTCAAAACTATCAAGTGTTATATAGAGAATTGAATCCCTGAATCTTGGCTACATCTATCTAAATTTCAAATTATAAAGTTTGATTCAATTGGTATTGGTAGAATCTTGTTTTAAAAAAAGTTTAGGGTAATATGCTTTTTGTTGATTGGTTACTTGTTTTCAATGCTTTACGAAGTTGTAAACTTGTAAGCTTGTTTCAATTTGGGTTCTCTTAGGCCTAGACTGGTTAAAACATTGATCCCACTCACGTCAGTCCCTCGACAATAGCATTCCTTTCCCGGTTGCAGATCGAAATCCCAAAAATAGAAAAGCGCCAAAGTCGCCACCGATACAATGAGTAAATAGGAGAAAATTGCTACCGTAAATACTGTAATAGTACCCCACCCCCATAATGACGGTGCGGAGTGTTGCGTAGTCTAGCTTTGAACGAGTTTTTCTCGACACTGGTTTATGCTACAATGCGCGCTTAGGTATCAAAAAATAGCTGAAATTCAGGGCTATTTTTTTGATGCCAAAGACGCATCTTTTGAAAGCACGGGCGCTTTGAAAAAAATGAAATACTAAAAAACTTTTGCGACTACGCGACTGTACGAGGGGGTGGCACATCCGCGCGAAATGGTGTTCTCTATCCGTTTTCCATGTTTGAATAGCCATTCAACGCAGAAAAATGTGCTGATTTCAATGGTGAAAAAATTATCAAAATCCGTCTGATACATTTTTTAAAAATCGCGTTTTATCGAAAAAATCGCACTTTTACAAGCAACTCGCTCGCAGCGACCAACTTTCGGCGGCTCGTTTTCAGCGTGGTCGAAAGATTGCGCCCTCAAAACCGATAACTTTTGTGTGGACGTTTATAAAGATCATTTTGATACCAAAAAAATAAAAATTGATCAACTCTGCGAAGACTTGATGCCTTTTTAAGTTGAAAATGACGTTTTGCGACTTTCTGCCCGCTAAAACGTGGGCAATCGCCAACAACCTATTTAAAGCAGCCAGACATTTATATTACTCTATTTGAATTTGTCGTTTTTCCCAGAGGCTTTTAACTTATATTTAACTTATCTCTATTTAAATTGTTGATAAACAAACTCCTAGTAAGCTTTTTAATAGGTTCGGTATATTTCTTGTTCACAAAGAGACGATTAACCAACTACCAGCAGTCATTTTTTTAGCTTTTTGATTAATTCGTTTCTTATTTCAGAAAGTTTATCATTTCTTGAGCTTAACATTAGTATTTTCATTTCAGGTTCGACAGCGATGCCACAGGCAAGCAAACGCAAAAGTGCATCTATGAAGAGAATAACAGATTTAAAACGAAAAAAAGAGCGAGCAACTTTGAATCAGGCAGAAATGTTGATTGTTAGAAGAGGAAAGATAAAGAAAGGAAGAATCACTGCAGAGATGCGACGAAAACAAAGAAAAATCCTTAAAGCTGCCCGGAAAGTTCAATGTAAAAATCACAGAAAAAGGATGAGAAGAAATATTGTCTGTCGATCGCTTTCTCCGTTACAAACCCTTGCACTTTACTCGAAATCTAAAGTATCACGGGACGCTCATCGAATTTATGAGTCATGAGACTCGTACTCTTGCAACGGAGTATCGTATGAATATGGTACGGGCAACCCTTGCAAAAAGCGTCGACTATGAAATTGAAGGCGATATTGTGAAGCTAAAAGACATGTTTTCTTCCGTCCAATATCGACTGTCTAAAATTAAAGACAACGAGAAACACCGTGCTGTACTTTTATGTGATAAAGGACTGGATATTACCAAAGTTACAATCATGTTTCCAGACAAGTCGGAAAAGCAACAATCCCCTTACAATCAACTGATACTTGCCGCGTGGTATGGTTATGACAATAACGAAAATCTGTGCAAGATAAAGGACTTGTTTGAAAAGCTTTCACCTTTACCTTGTGCCTTCTTCTTGGGCGGTGATCTCAGTTTCATGGCTTCTGCATTCGGAATGTCGTGTGCTTCAACGTATCCCTGTGTGTGGTGCTTCTTTAAAGCTGTGAAGACGCGAAAAATTACGGGCGTTAAGGAGAAATTAGACCAAACACACTACGAAAGACGTACCATCCTGAGTTTTGATGAGCGCTTAAAACTTCCAACAAAAGATGCCGAAAATCGAAAGGGTGTGCTTCGGCCATATGTATGGAACATTGAGCCTAAACATTGTGTTCCTCTGATTCTGCACATCAAGTTAGGATTCGGAAATCAAATATTCAAGGCTATGGAAGCTGAAGTTAATCTTAATTCGTTGGAACGCGTGCAATTCGAAGAGTTTTCAAAAAAGCTAGGATTTCTCAAGACGCACAGGTCGGATGATCTAAATCGTCCAAAAATCAAAAAACTTTGTCAGAATCGAAATATGTATCGAAAAGTTTCAATGTCATCTCGTTACAGTGATTTGTGCAATTGTTTGGATATCTTCGATGACTTCTCTCGAAGTTCAGCCTCAACTAAAGCACAATTACCGGTTAAAGAGATTGATGATATTTGTGAAAAGTTAAAACAACTTCTCTCAAGTATGGAAATTCTTGATATTGGAACACGATCCGTGAAGTCACACGTAGCGTTGAAACACATTCCAGAGTTTTTGAACGAAAATAATTGTCTGGCTAACATGGGTGAGGAGGGCTTGGAATCATTGCATTCAATCATTGGCAATTTATGCCGTCGAACTAAACGTCTAAATAAACTCGAAACACTCTTATTCGCCACTAAACGACACGCTGTTAATGTCTTGCTATTAGATTTGGGTCTTATTTAATATGAAAGTTTACGACCATGCTTTATGTTTCTTTTTCAGGCGTTATATTTATTCAATTTGTTAATCTCGCATAAATTTAGGTATCGAAATGCAAAAAAATGTTGAAAGAAACGCTTCAAAGACCCAATTAAACCTGTGATTTGTCATCGCTTGGAACATCTTGCTCTTTTCGTTGCTTTGATGTGGTGGTGATGGCTAAAATTCGTCCAAACAAAGCAATCTATTTTAAAAAAAAACTTCCCTTAAGCATTAATCCAAAATTTGCAGACACATGACGAAAAAACACGACGAGAAAAGCCAAAAGAAAAGAATAAGGAAATGAATGAAAGGAAACAAGCGCGGCTTTTCTACTTCATGCTTTTTGACACGTAAATAGAGTAATATAAATGTCTGGATGCTTTAAATAGGTTGTTGGCGATTGCCCACGTTTTAGCGGGCAGAAAGTCGCAAAACGTCATTTTCAACTTAAAAAAGGCATCAAGTCTTCGCAGAGTTGATCAATTTTTATTTTTTTGGTATCAAAATGATCTTTATAAACGTCCACACAAAAGTTATCGGTTTTGAGGGCGCAATCTTTCGACCACGCTGAAAACGAGCCGCCGAAAGTTGGTCGCTGCGAGCGAGTTGCTTGTAAAAGTGCGATTTTTTCGATAAAACGCGATTTTTAAAAAATGTATCAGACGGATTTTGATAATTTTTTCACCATTGAAATCAGCACATTTTTCTGCGTTGAATGGCTATTCAAACATGGAAAACGGATAGAAAACGATTTTTCGCCTTATTTCGCGCGGATGTGGGTGGGGTACTATCACAGTATTTACGCTAGTTTATTCCATGGAAAAGTTATAGTAGCACAATAGATGCAATTTAAAGAAAAGAATAAGTAAATAGTGATGTTGTAAAGATAACGGTAATAGTTTGCTCAACTCTCTCTTTCAAATTCCTTTCCGCTTTTCACAAAAATCGATTCTTTTCAATCTTTCTTATCAAAGGAATGAATGCTTTCATTTCTGAATGATTCATAAATAAATCTTCTACACAAGTTCTAATAGAAAATCTTTCAAGCTTAGACTTTCATTTTGTATATTTTCTTAGTATTTTATCATCTAGGACACTCAAAAGATAGCTAAAAAGTTATTTGAGATCGTTTGACTAGATTTAGCTTCTAGGTTTTAAAATTATAGTTTTAAAACTTCTTTTAACTTCATTGTTAAAAGATTTTCTTTTGTTTTTATGTCTAAAATCATTTTTAACTTCAAATTTTGTGAAGTTTTTGTATTAAAGTTTTAATTTGTATTAAAATCCTTTCACAGACTCTTCCAATGCGTCCAAACGTTGCCCCAGCTCTACTTTTCTTCGCCGTTTTAAGTATTTTCTGTTATTTGCTATATTCAAATGCTAGAGGTTGGTTTTTGGATTGAAATTAGATTAGAAATTAGATTAGAAATTATATTAGATTATGATCGTAATACTTTCAGAAGGTTGTCTAGACGCGTGGAGTGATAAAGTCTTCTTGCAAGACTATGTTCTCACGAAGAAACATTACGTGGAAACTGCCAAGGAAAGGACAAATTTGTTGAGGTGAAACTGATTTTAAACTCTGAGATTTATAAAAGTATTAACCAATAGATCAATTCTCCTAAAGCTTTCTCTATTTAGAGACGTTTTACTGCAAAAGAGAACCAAAGGTTGGCGATTCGCTGACATCTACAATGGATTGGTGCCAGAGGTGAGAAGGGACTAGGAGTCGAGAGGTTTATCTAGAGATCTAGGAACTAGATTAGATAAATCTAGTTCCTAGATTCCTAGATAAACCTAGTACACGCATTTGACACGAACTTCAAATTCACCAAATTCTGGGAAGAAAAATCGGCCCAAATCATAACATCACCTCCTCCATAGTTGCCGAAATACTTTGGTTCTTTGCGCAGATCTCTCAAATAATGCATAACACGGTCCCGATTTGGTTCCAATACGGTTCTAAAACAGGGCCGTCGGGGTTAAACTTCTTTCGTAGTCACTATAAGTGACAGAAACAGAAGCAATTCAGGTCCAGACAACAGAAGCAATTCAGGTCTTTTGCACATCGCTCCTCCGCGTCGGTAAAGTGAGCGATGGTGGGAAATGGATTTGCCGACCGTGGAGTATGCCAAACGATTGTGCTGTTTATTCATTGGGTGAGCATTTATGTTGCAGAATTTTTAGCAAAATATAGCCAAATTTAAACCAAAGATTGATCCCAAGGAGATTGAGAATAGAGGCGCCCAAGGTGGTAAAGCCGGCTCGGCCCCCTTAAGCGTTTACGAAAGGAAAAAAAGGAAACCCCTTGTACCAGAGCGGTTTGCCAGGCCGCAAGCGATTATGCGGCTGCACAAAGAACACTTCGGCAGTCATTTACAGAGATTTCTCTTTTGCTATGTTGATTGTATAAAAAGAAGATATTCAGTTGTAAATTTGTAACTGGGGGTTTTCGGGGTCGGTGAATCGATTGGAGATATTTATTTTATTGAATCTATCAATGGGAACTCGGAGAAACGGTCCTAATTCGGATTGCTTCTTTAGACTCGAAAAATTACTCAAGTTATCAATGGTCGTTTAATGGTCAATGGGTTAATGGTTATCATATCAATGGTCAATGGTCGTTCAAACGATCAGAAGGCTTACAATCAGCTCTTTTTCAGAATCTCAGAAGACTTTAAAGAATTTTTGATTTCCATTGAACCAACATCAAGATTTCAGGTGTCAATCAAGATACGTCATTCGAAAGAGATCTCCAATCATTGACGCAATCAAGATGTCGACTATATGCCTATGATAAGGTGGGATTTTTGATCAAGGAAGGTTAACAAATATATTTGAAACTTTGAATTTCTAAATTTACAACTAAATCCTTTGCAGAACCAGCCAAAATCCGCAAAAGTCCTCGAGGGACTCGACAAAATGAATGTTCATTTCAAGAAAGGATTAATCGGAATTGTGAATGATCCGCAAAACGGAAAATTGAGTATTCAAGAGGAAATGAAATTGTATAAGGATAAAAGAATCGAGATTTTAAAGATTGATATTGAAGGTGAGAAATGGGAAAAGTGCTTGAAATCAAGATTGATTTCAGGTGCAGAACTGAAGGTACTCCCGGAGTTGATAAATGCGGCTAGGATTTGTCAGGTTTGTAACCAAAATAACAAAGTTTTAGACGCTTTCATTTTAAACCACTTTAAAGGTTCAAGCTCAACTTATGAGAGCGTATTGGTGTTTGATTGAAAACTTTTGATTTCATTGCGTCCTCGTCGAATCGACGAAACTTGCCAGAAGGATTTCCAGGCTTTGGCCAAAGCCTGGTCAGGCCTGGTTCGATCCTGATGAACACCTGAGCTAGAGCTTTACTTAGAAAGGAATCTCAACAGGATTTGGTGGCCAAATAATATGAGCCATATACTAACCGACGTAGAATTTTGCGCTGATTCCAAAACTGCTTTCTGTTTTTGAAAAGCGCAGCACTTTGTCAAACGTTATAATCACAAGAATCAAGAATCACAAAAAAGTTATAATCACAAGAATCAAGAATCACAAAAAACAGACCTTGAGGGTATAAGTTGACTTACCAAGAGGAGGGAGAGGAGATCGTTGTGGCCGAGTGGTAGTGGGCTTGCATACGATTTTGCATAATCAAGGATTCTAGGGTTCGAGTCCGTGGTTTAGCTTTTGTTTTTGCTTCTTTTGCCTTTGCTTTTTTGAATGGTTTAAGTGTTTTGGCGATTTTGGATGGTTATCATTAGATGTCTGTATATCCAGAGCAACAGTGTGCCAGCTGCTGTACGATTGTGTTGTGCGCGCACATAGAGAATACTTAAACCATTCAAAGCTAAAAGATGCAAAGAGAAAAGTCAAGCCTTGGACCAGAACCCTAGCGTCCTTGCTTTCCTCTCACTTCGTATTGAAGCCCGCTGCCACTCGGCCACCACAACCTCTTCCCAATCCCTTGGTAAGTCAACTTATAAGCACAAAATCTGTTTTCTGCGATTTCATACAAAACTTTGAGCGCTTATATCTTTTGACAGAGTGTTGAGTTTCAAAAACGGAAAGCAGCAGAACCAGCGCTCGACTTTACAGCTTTTAAAAAATGAACTAACGCGAGCTTTTCAGCAATCCTTAAAAGACAATTTGTAAATAATAAATAGGAGTTTCTGATAAAACAAATCATAGATCAATTGGTTTATTATTTATTTTCAAAAGTAAAAAAGTGGAAAAGACTTTCCAGAAAAGACAATCTGCTAACAATCTGCTAACCTGTAAACGTGGAAGAATGAATTCAAGAATGAGACTGTTAAAGTGATATGAGCTAGTCCAATTTCAGTCAAATCACTTTCTCATCAACATTTTCTCGTTTCAGATCCTCGTTGAGATCCACGCCGATCCGCATCTTGTACTCGATTTGATGAAAAAGCTGGCCAAAGGCGGTTATCGTTTATTCTCCTATGAGATCAACGGCTTATTGCATCATTTGAGTGAATATTCATTTATTCATGATGATTGTTTAGAGCAATATAATGTTTTACCATTTGAAAATTATTTGGAAAATTTGTGAAAAGATCAGTTGTTTACACTCAAGATTCTTTGTTCATTTTTTTACGGAATTCATAAACTTTCATCGTTTCTGAGTGAGACATTTGCGTCACAAAAAGTTGCAAAAAAACGATTTAGATAGAGAAAAACAAGACGGATTTGAGAAATAGATTCTTTGTAAAAAAGGAGCAACTGAGCTCTAAATTTGGCTATATTTTTTCTACAAATTCGACATCAATTGCTCAAAGCTTTCAATTGTCAAGAGATTTAATTGACTTTTAAAAAATTTGAGTTTCAAACACGAATCAATTCCTATTCTTTGAACCTAGCTAAAAACGTTTTATTTCAATGTTATGTAGCCGTTCGCGTTCGAATCAAATTATTTTTGCACAGTACTTTCTGGTGATAGTAAGTCGTTGCTGTAAAACAAATTAAAGAGTTGAGTACGATAAGAATTAACAGAAAAGAATCAAAAAAATCGAGTGTACCGCTATTATGATATAAGCGCTTTGAAATGTTTTCTTTGTAAAGAATTTGATGGCCTTTTTCTTGACAATGGGAAAATTCTCCGGAATCATTCCTATTCTTCGACTCTAGTCAAAAACGTTTTATTTTCACGTGATGTAGCCATTCGATGATTGCAAAGTAAGTCATTTTTTTCTAAATTTGTAGCTTTAGTTGATTCGTAGCTGTTTTTAGTTCTATAAGGCCGATTTAGCAGAGAAAATTTTATGAGGTTTTTTTCTATCTCTCTTCAAACAAGGCTCTATCTTGCTTCTCTTATCAAAGTCGTAAAAATTCTAAACGCTTTTCTGCAATATCTTTTGGAATCCTATTGATTGTTGTAAACATTCTAAATATTTGTATTTTGATGAGGTTAGATAGTTTATGTTAATTTTGGTCTTACCGTCGTAGCCGATCGGATAGGAATCTTGTCTCCTAGTCAGGGGGTTAAGGGTTCAATCCCGGCGGCTAGAAAGATTGGTTCTCTTTCCCGTTATTATGGGTTTTTTCTTACCAACATTTCGGTAATAGGGGTAATTAGGGGTAAAAATCTTCTCCATTGTGTTGTCATTCATTATTCGTGTCAAAGAAATATACTTTACTTTACTTACCCACGGAAATACCGTATTCCTGCTACAGATTTTGTCAGTTCTACTTATTTTTGATCCCATTTAATTTATTCGTTTCCTATCAAATAGAACAAAATTGTGTTAGACGGAGAAAATCTGAAGAAAAGATTACGATAGATTTTCAATCTTTGCCGTTTAGAAAACTAACTCGCAAGAAAAACGAATTGCCGTATTCTCTCTAATAGTAGTGCACCCCGCCGAGCCGAGTTGATGACGATTTTACGGTTTCCAAGCTTTCGCAAAAGCTCAACACTCAAATCCCCCATAAGATCTCATCGTCAGCTACATTTTTCGACCCCACATCGATAGGTTCTGATAAGCGGTTTTCGAGATTTCGAGGAATTTTGGCGAAGCAGGGAAAACACGGTATGCAAAGATCTTTGTGGGCCAGCCAAATGAGAAGAAGGCAATGCCCATCATAGGTGTTCGTAATCAACTAATGATGAGAAAATTTTCGATTTAATGAACACAATTTGAAACAACTTGAAACAATGCTCTTTTCTGGAAACTAAGCTCTTGCGCTACTTAGCTACTTGGCTACTTAGCTCTTGCGAAAAGTTCGTGTTTCAGCTTTAAAGTTCCCTTGATATATTTTTCAAAACTTTTTTGCAATAGTAGTGCACCCCGCCGAGCTGGTGACTATTTTACGGTTTCCAAGCTTTTGCAGAAGCTCAACACTCTAATCCCCCACTAGATCTCATCGTCAGCTACATTTTTCGGCCCCACATCGATAGGTTCTGATAAGCGCCTTTCGAGATTTTGAGGAATTTAGGCAACGCTCAGGGTGCCCTACTATTAGAGAGAATACGGTAATTTCAAATCAAACTTGTTTGGTTTACAAGAATCTTTAAAACTGGATAGTTTTGTAGTGGAGACGGTGTTTTTTGCTTTAGTGAGATATGCAAAACTAGGTTTTAAGCATTACCTAAGCGAATGAATTTACTTTTGAGCACTGGCACGAGATCTATAAGTTTATAAGTTTTTAAGAAGTTCGTAAAAGCTTATACGGTTGAACCTCGTTAGTAAAGAACTCAATAATGAAATAACCTCGATGGAAACCGGATTTTTTAGGATTCCTCTGAGTTGTTTTAGTACTAATCAAACCTCAATAGTGAACGGTTTTTTTTAGGATCCCTTCCACAGTTCACTAACGAGGTTCGATTGTATATCGAATGATTTACATAATATCAATCTTGCTTTCTAGAGATGAGCACTAAAAACTACAAACGTAAACTATAAACGCTTCTAAGTTGCTTCAAATCTACTTGATTGACATGGTCTATGGCTCAGAAAATAGAGAATTTTAAGAGCTTTTGAACCAACACCCAAAAATCTCAATTCTAAAGAAATTTAGAGTGGGTTACAGCTTCGACTACGCGCGAGTACTGTTCGTTTTCATAAATCACTGTAATTTTCTTCAAAATTGATTTTTTTGAGTGTACTTTAGTGGTTCAAAAGCTCTTGAAATTCTCTATTTTTTGAGCTATTCTCTATTTGAGATCATGTCAATCCAGTTGATTTAAAGCAAGTTAGAAGCGTTTGTAGTGTGACAGTTCGTTATTTTTCTAGTTTATAGCGCTCATATCTATTGCTTTCCATTCAGATTATTCACTCGTCTGCTTCTGCTAGCCCTTATCTCACTTTTTGTCGGCTTCATCTATTTGAACGGTTTTCGTGCTCGTTTTCCTTCGGTCACCATTCAAGAAGTTATTTCCAAGGATAACAAACAAGTGAAGTAGGTCATTAAACGGTTTATTTTGCTAATAAAGAGGTCCGAAGTGTTAATTGGGCTGGCTTTATTGGTATGACATTAAAAGCCCAATGACCTCATTGATTCTAACTTTTTCTGGAATGTTTTATGGGCAAGTAAAGATTACATGAACTCACTTCAATATAGAGCTTATCTAAAGAATTTTTATTGCTTTTCAGAAAACCCATTCAAATTCTCTATTATACACGAGTGTGGCAATATGTTCAACAAGAGAGATGGGTTTCCGATGAACAGTGCACAGGAGTGCCAGCGGTTGGTTTTGCAGCATTGGCTAAGGTTGACTTTGTTGTGGTTTTATTGGTTTTATTGACTTTCTGTTGGATCAGAGCTTATCCAGGAACACTTCAGGTTTCCAAATGATATCTAATAAAGGCTAATTGGACTAACCGATCGAGAAAATCGAAAATCGAGAGACAAAGTTTTCAACTTGATCCCATCATTAGTCAGTTTATATATATGCTTTATTCATGGGGCGAATAGAAACGAATCAGATAATCATAACTGCATATAACATATTGCTACAATACTCTCACCGAAAAAAGAGAGAAAACTAAAGATAGTACAGTAAGAGTACAGTTAGGAAACACAGATACAAAAAGATTAAATATAGGGCAGATTTGACATGGCAATACGATCTAATTCGTTCACAGATACTTTGAATTTTCCTACAGACGAGAAGATACCAGACGGGAGCTTATTCCAAACCCTACTAATACGGTTCGCAAAAAAATGATAAAGGGAAAGATGATGGGGATGAGAAACGACCGAAATTTGATAAGGATGACTACGTGAACTTCTATAAATTTCTACAATTTTCAAGAGGCTTTGAAATTCTGGATGTGACTTAGGGTGGAAAAGAATTTTATAGCAAAAAATAAGATCAAAGTAAATACGGCGATATAAAAGGAGTTTTAAATCAAAAACTATAAGTCTAGTCTCATAATTTGGAATAAGAGAAGAAGGGAAACAACGAGTGTATGCTTTTTTAGTGAAACGCCGTTGGACATTTTCAACCAAGGTGATAAGTTTCTTAATGGAAGGTGACCATACGATGGTGGCATACTCGAGCAAAGGTCGGCAATAGGTTATAAAAGCCTTGCGATAAGTCGCCATTTTAGGGAAACAAATGGCGCGAAGAATTATGTTAGAAATTCTAGAAGCTTTTTTGGAAATGCAGTTTATGTGAGGATCAAATTTTAGAGAGGGAACTAACAGTATACCAAGATCTTTTACAGGATCATCGGTCAACCCTTGTGGTAATTGTAGGTCCCCCAATTTTAAAGGGATATGTAATGAACCAAATGTAACGTGTTTGCATTTGTCCGGCGCAATGTTAAGTTTCCAAAATTTACTCCACAAAAGGATCGAATCAAGATCCAAGCTGCTTCTAACCTTTGCCTAGCTCGAGATACTGTATGTGACTGGGGTAAGAAAAGGTAGACCTGGTTGAAATAGGTACATTTTCGTCCAACAGCGATTTCATCTCTTCAAAGAAGTCGGCATAACACTCGTTGATGTCCATCTCTAATCGGGGAAGAAACCTTGCATTGAAGAGCGCTAAAGAAAGACAGACAGCACCGAAATTACCTCTCCAAAAGGCACGGTTACCTTCATCCGGTCCTTTTAGAGAGGTAAAATGATGCAGAATTAAATTAAAAGACATAGAAAAATGGTCGGCACCACCAATGGGAGGGCATGGTGAAATAGCTGAAATTAAATGAGGGGAGTCGGTTAAAACTAGGTCTAAAATATGCGAACTTTTCCTGAAAGTAGGGAATTTGTTTAAAATTTCTAAGCTGTTGGCTGACAGGAAGTTTTCTAAATGTGGAAAACGCGATAAATTAGGTAAATGTCGTAGAGAAACAGTTAAAGGAAAATTAAAATCGCCAAGAAGGAAATTTGGATGATTTGGTAGCAAGTAATCTTCAAGAAATGTAAAAAGATGGAAAGAACCCTGGTTGTTAACATGTGGGGGACGATCAACAATGATTATCTCGCAACCTGAGACTGATTGACTAGTAACAGGGATAAAGTTATAAGAACGGCGAATGAATAGGATAACACCACCATCCCGAACTTTGATATCATTAAAGATACGGTCACAACGAATTATGGAATAGTTAGAGGCGGGGTCTAAGATAGAAGATGTAGTGTTTTCAGTCAGCCAGGTCTCACAAAAGGCAAGAACATCGTAAGAGAGAGATCTGGACAAAAATTGCACGTAACTAAGACGTTTTGTGAAATTATTGAGTGAACATTGGCAAAGAGAAACGAAACAGACGTTACGGGGGGAAATGAGCTTATCCTGGAGTGAGCGAGTCGATTTCTAGAGGGAGCGGCAAGTCTTGTGATTCCATCCTGGTAAATTTTGCTGCTGGGCTCGTGTTCGGCGTGTCCGTGGTAGGCAACTTTGCGATGATCGCTCCTCCAGTCCCATTTTTGGATACAATTTTGCGCTTCACAAATGATCCTTGGCCATTTTTCACTCCATTCAAGACTGTGTTTTCTTTTCTCATTCATCCCAGATCCTTTTGGCCTTCCTCGTTTCTTCTCGGAACCGGAGATGACTGAGTTGCACGGGGCTAAATTCCTTTTGTCTGCGGCGATTTCGATAGCCTCTTCATCAACTTGGGTCGCAACATCAATTTTAGTTTTGAGGATATCACAATCCATTGTTTTCCTCGTAGTGCAATTTTTCATGGCATCTTTAGGGAAAAATTTTTCTTTTGGCAAATCACTATTTCCTCCCTTGAATTTTGTTGGATCGGAATGCCTGATTTGAATGAATCAATAAGTCCACGGCAGAAACCAGGAACCGAATCTTTTGAAAGAAGAGATCACATTTGAGACCGTATGTGAAGAGGCGACGATTACCTTCATAGGACGGGGCTTGAACCTGTTGAAGACACCCATGCGATACGAATGTAGTATGATACCATCAATTCCGTAGCAGGCAAAAATATTGTCTAACATTAACCGGTCGTAATTTCTCCTTAACATAGGTGAAAATGGAAGAGAAGTGATCACCTCGGGTAGACCATCAATAACGATGTGGTAGTCGGAGCTAAGTGATTTCGCAAACTCAACAGAGGAGACGAATGATGGCACAATTGTTGGTGGAGAAAGAGGATGAGACGGATGGTTGAGGGAGCGTAAGTTGGATCGATGAGATGGTTCATCCCGTTTGTTTGGTCCCACTTCGATCCATTTGTTCCCGCCATGACGACCATTTGGGGCTGCCGGCGCGGGATGAGACATCGCATTGCGGTTGATCATCTTGCAGTGACACACTTCAAACTTCGGTAATTAAAATTCAGGTTTCCAAATGATATTTAATAAAGGCTAATTGGACTAACCGATCGAGAAAATCGAAAATCGAGAGACAAAGTTTTCAACTTGATCCCATCATTAGTCAGTTTAGTTACTTTTTAAGTAACACAAGTTCAACGGAATGTCGAATTTGTAGCATAAATATAGCCAAATTTAAGGCAAAAATTGATCCTAAGGAATTGGAGCATAGTGACGCCCAAAATGCCTCTCCTGACCTTGTTTGATCCAAAAAAGTTCTCTTCGAAACAACTCTGGTTCACCTATACTATTGGATTGGTGAATTGAAAACTGCGGGCTATTGTCATATGTGACAGTTTGAGCACTTTCTTCAAAAGAAACCCATTTTGGTGTGAATGGAAAAGTTGTAGAGAATCAAAAATCAAGCTTATATCCAAATTTTCAGAACGATTCAAAAACTGGTTTTGAAGAAATGCGAAATTTACGAATTTTTGATTCTCTACAACTTTTCTATTGACACCAAAATGGATTTCTTTTGAAGAAAGTGCTCAAACTGGGACATCTCCAGTCCTCCATTTTTGAGTCTCACACTTGTCTCACACACGAACCAAAATCCTACTTCGAAAGAGGAATCCGCAAATTGCCTGTAAAATGGGCAGAAGTCGTCAATAATAATGGAAATTATTTGGAATGAATTCATGGTTTTATGTTGAATAAATTTTTGTTCAAAGTCCCGCAGTTTTCAATTCACCAACCCAATAGTTTCCAAAGCATACTCGTGTAAGATTTGCTTTGTCGAAATTGCTGAATGTCTTAGAGGTTATTGTCAATGTTAAACTATTGGTGAACCGTTAAGCACGTCACCTATTCATAATTCGAATTTTCAGGGTAGCTGTATCCTGCACAGTAACAAGTCATTAATCTCCGAAAGTGACGCTGTCGTTTTTGAGCCTCGTTTTATTGATGGAATTGAGTTCGTTTTTACAAAAATTTTATTGTAATTAGAAAAAGTATAGTCTAGAAAAGATTCCACGGAGATCTGATCAGATTTTCGTTTTCTCGATTAGAGAAGCAGCGCAACGAGTTGAGAAACCGAAGGTGCCAGGTGAGAAGTGAAAAGGAAAAGTGTTCTTAGTGATCTTTCTTATTGTTAGATTACTTTTTCAATGCTTCGATGAGTTATTTGAGTACAGCTGATATCCCGTACAATCATCGATATGAGTGGATGAGAAAAGATGAGAGTGAGAAAAGAGGTACAGTGATTTACATTGAAGACGCCAATAAGCTTTTGACCTTGAGATAAGCTCTTGAGATTTGGCATAGAAGCTCATTATAGTTTGGCTCCCTTTCTTGGCTTCTGGCTTCTCAAGTTTCCAAAATCAAATATTGTAATGTAAATCAAATTAGTTACTTATTTGGCTTCGAGCTTGGCCTGGCCTGGCTTCGAACTTGATCTGGCCTGGCTTCGAACTTGGCCTGGCCTGGCTTCGCCTAAAGCCTATTAGAACATCTTTACTTTTAAGGCGCGTAAATTTTTATAACTTATTTTCTATTCAGCTAGCCTAGAGCTTTAAGTGGATGGATAAAATTCAAAGAATCTTTGTTAACTTGTTGTAAATCCAGTTGTGTTGAGAATTTTCGGTGTGAACGCCAATAGGCAACGGAAAAGCTGGCATATCTCAGCCGATTTCTCTCCGATCTTTTTGATTTTGATATTAATTGACGGGGAATTGAGGTTTCTATTGATTGAAATCAAAAGCAAAAAGATTGAAGTGAAATTGGGAAAGATATGACATTTTCTATTGACATTCACATCGAGAATTCCCAAATCTAGTTGTGTAAAGTCCTTGATAGTCACAAGATCAGATAGTATTCAATTTAAAGCTTCAAATTGTAAAAAAAAAAAAAAAAAAAAAAAAAAAAAAAAAAAAAAAAAAAAAAAAAAAAAAAAAAAAAAAAAAAAAAAAAAAAAAAAAAAAAAAAAAAAAAAAAAAAAAAAATTTTTAAAAAAAAAAAAAAAAAAAAAAAAAAAAAAAAAAAAAAAAAAAAAAAAAAAAAAAAAAAAAAAAAAAAAAAAAAAAAAAAAAAAAAAAAAAAAAAAAAAAAAAAAAAAAAAAAAAAAAAAAAAAAAAAAAAAAAAAAAAAAAAAAAAAAAAAAAAAAAAAAAAAAAAAAAAAAAAATAATAATAAGTAATAATCATAATCAAATATTTTTTCATTTCTTTTAATTCGACATTTCAGGTCTAACATTTGTCCCAATTGGTTTCAACAAGGCTCTCTTTGAAAAGAAAGAGGTTTCTTCAAAAGAAACCCATTTTGGTGTCAATAGAAAAATTGTAGAGAATCAAAAATTAGGCTTTTTCAAAACCAAATTTTTAAAAAGATACACTTAGTAGTTTCGCTTAAAATGCAAGTTTTGTGAAAATTCGTAAATTTGGCATTTCTTGAAAACCAGTTTTTGAATCGTTCTGAAAATTTGTATATAACCTTGATTTTTGATTCTCTACAACTTTTCCATTGACACCAAAATGGGTTTCTTTTGAAGAAAGCGCTCAAACTGTCACATATGACAATAGCAATTCACCAACCCAATAACTTACATAATATAACTAAACAAGGCCTAAACAAATAAAAAACTTTAAATATCCTTTTCAATTCACCAACCCAATATTTACGTATGTCTTGGTACTTACTATATAAAAGAGTCCTCTCTGTCTGTACAGTCATTTTCTCAGCCTTGTTTTGAACAATAAAGCTAAAACTTCTTTCAAAACTAAAACTTCGTTAGAAAACCTAAGAATATATCGTAGTTGTGTCTTTAAAATAATTTTCGACATCTCAGGTCTAACATTTGTCCCAATTGGTTTCAACAAGGCTCTCTTTGAAAAGAAATCGCATTTCCTGAGTGCAATGATTGGGAATTGTGCGAGTACGCCGAGTGGTCGAACAAAACTTGTCAAATATTTGGAAAAGTGAAAAAAATAGGATCTTATGAAAAAAAAATCATTTTCAGGAGAAAATATTTGAGTTTATTTGGCGGTTGCTCTAAAGATCCAGAAAGGAAAAATGTTTGCAAAAAAAGTTGAGAATTTTTGCAAAAGCGAAAAAAGATGACGTCATTTAGGAGATGACGATTGTGTGAACAGGATTTTTGAGCAATCATTTTTCTTCTTAGCCTTGGAAAACTCGGTTTGTTTGGATTATGTGACGGAGAAATATTGGAATCGAACGACGATACAAAGTGTGCCAATCTTATGGAGTAGGAAAGCGGCTGAGAAACAGTGAGTTTCAAAGTTGACGACGATCATTTCACGGAAAAGTCATCAATTTTCTTTTTATTTATTCTCAATCTCCCCAAAAGAAAACTTAGAACTTTCAAATTTTAAAGCTTTAAAGAGTTTGGATACAATTTTAAAGCTTTTAAGAGTTTTAGAGGAATCCCGGAAAACTCGGTGATTTATGTGGACGATTTTGAGACGATCGGAAAAATGATCGATCATTTGGAGTATTTACGCTCAAATTTGACTGCTTATCAAGAATATTTTCTTTGGAGGTGAGCAAAAAATTTTCTTATTGTTAGTAAAGAAAACTATTTAGAGAAATCGGGTAAAAAACTACGCTAGAAAACATTGGATCTTTACGGATAACTGTGAGGGTAGATTCAATACAAAGACGTCGGGAAATCCGTATAGAATTTCGTAGAGAATCTTACCAAAGCAACAGTAATACTTGAAAATGCATAGAATTGAGTACCGTAGAAATTGGAGAAAAATTGTCCACTCAATAAGCAATAAACAACAAATATCTTTTCAGAAACGATTACATGTTGATCACTAAACGTGAGAGTCGAGAGTGTCAGCTTTGTTCGTACGTTTATCGAAAACCTTCATCGAAAGTCGTAAGCAGCTTACAAAATTTAGAGATGAGAAATAAATTCCAGTACAAAGATGTCTATCAAACATTCAAAGAACAAACGGATTGTCAGAAAGATTTCTTTGAAAAGTTTTCGAAGTTTTGAACTAGAAAACCATTGAAACTTGTCTATAAATAAAGATTTTTTTAAAGTTTTTAATCTTGATTTGATCTAATTTGATTCTATTAATCTATTGAATACTTTTAAAAAGCTTAAAAAGCTTAAAAATCAAGCTTTTTCCTCATAAAATTAAGCTATTCAGCTATTCAGCTATCCCAAATGATTTCGGTGCTGAAAATCTCGGTTCGTTTCAATTGCGGGAAGCTGAATCTATTGGTAAATGGAGTTTAAGATTTGAGATTTTTAAAAATTTCTAGATGCTGTGCATCTTCATCGTCTCGAGTTTTCTTTTCATGAAGAAAGTGATAGAAATGCATCAAAAAGGAACGAGAAGATATATGCTGAAAGAATCAGATGGAGTGAAAATATTGGAATTTGGAGAGAAGAGGCTGGTGAAACCGACTGGAGAAGAGGGGAGGGTCGTCGAGGTGGGTTCCGAGTGATCACAGTAAGCTATTGTCACAGTAATCATAGATCAGCTCTGTAAAAGTAATGAGTCAATCACTTGCTGAAAAGCCATTCAGCCCTTCAGATCTGGGATCTTGACGATGACAGTCCGGAGCACGATCTAAAAGATTTTGACGGATTGATGTTAGTGCCCGAAGTGTATGGGAATTATTGTGTCTACGAGAATGTATTAGAAGAAGAGCCACCAAAAGAGAAATTGATCGCGATGATCCTTCATTCATCACTCTCATACATTGACGAGAGTTTCGCGAAAATGGTGAGAATAAGGCTAAAATAACTTTAGAAATCAATAGCTTTAGCCCTTAAAATAGCTTTGGAAAAACGATAAAACTGAAACTTTTTCCAGGCCTTAGCCTGGGACGGCTCAATCTCATTAGCTATTTTCGTCGACGATTTCTCGAGCAACTCCGATATGAAATTGGTTGTGAACTGGGTAATTTGAAAAGATTTTCCTTTCAGAAGTCTTTCAGATCACGCAACTACGATCGAAAATCCCGTCAAAAACCGCACTTTTCATTCATTTGTTCTTTCAACGAATTGATAACGATGAATGTTCAATGTTCTTTATTGAAAGTAAAAAATTAGAAGAAAAATTGGGTTAATGTAAATTCAGAGAAACATTTGGTGAAAAGTGATGTTTCGTTGCCGAATAATTCAATCGATCCAGCTACATATCCGATAAATGTGGCGAGAAATTTGGCGAGAAAATTCGCGCCACCACATCACTATTTTCTTGTGGCTGATATGGATCAGGTGATTAAATTGCTTTAAACCATTATATTATTGCTTAAATATTATGAACATTCGCTTTTAATTAAAACCATTACAATTATGATTATCAAGATCAATTTGAAACTAGACAATTGTTCCCAATATCAGGAATATTCTTCTGATGCTGAAAGAAAACTCCGATCGATCGCTGACTCAAGAAATCTCACTACTGTCAAAGAAGTGTTGGTGATTCGACGTTTCGAGCATGAGCTAAATTCGAGGTGAGCGATAAGTGATGAGTAGGTATCAAATAATATTTTAATAACACTAAAAAAGTTATAAAGTAAGGTTGGACGATCTGCGATCCATTATTCTCTAAAAAGAGCTCACCCAGTTTGAGCACTTTCTTCAAAAGAAACCCATTTTGGTGTCAATAGAAAAGTTGTAGAGAATCAAAAATTAGGCTTATAGCCACATTTTCAAAAAGATACACTTAGTAGTTTCGCTTAAAATGCAAGTTTTGTGAAAATTTGATAAATTTGGCATTTCTTGAGAACCAGTTTTAGAATCATTCTGAAAATTTAGCTATAAGCCTAATTTTTGATTCTCTACAACTTTTCTATTGACACCAAAATGGGTTTCTTTTGAAGAAAGTGCTCAAACTGTCACAAATGACAATAGCCCGCAGTTTTCAATTCACCAACCCAATAGCTTACATAATATAACTAAACAAATAAAAAACTTTAAATATCCATCAAATCCAAAGATCTATATGAATATTTGCAGTTTTGTATCTATAATAAATTTCATAAAACTTGATTGAATTTGAAGTTTTTATCTCATTCCAGTTCGCCCAAAACGATCGCCGAACTCCATTCTCGATACAACAAAGATGTATTCTTTTTTCATCAGAAATACTTCTCCCCAGCACACGCGATCCCCAATTTAACTGAATGGTTTCATAGAGGAGGTCAGTCGATGAAGGTTTGATTTTAAGCAACTTCATTTCCTTGTCGTTTTTAGGTAACCCCAGTGAAATATCATAGTCATTATTGGGAACCGATGTTTGTCGCCTCATCAAATATCCCGTTTCATGATGAGACATTGAGATATCAACATAAAAATCATCTCGCATTGGTGAGTTGGATCATTTTTTGGCTTAAATTTACACGACGAGAAAGATATTAGATCTAATTTGATCCGAAAAGAGTCGTTCAACTTGAAACATTCGATTTTAGCTCAGGCTCAGGCTTAGGCTTAGATTATAAAGATTATAAAGATTACAAAGATTATTAGATGATTTTTTTAATTGATAAACATTTAGTGTTGGGATCTTTGCGTTTTCGGGTACAAATTTCTCATCGTTGATGGCGTTTTCAATACGCATAGTGGAGTGAAAGAGTTGAAAAAGACTGGATATTACAAATGGTCGTCAAAAGTGGGCAAATTTAAACAGATTTACTGTAAACTAGAGTCGATTCTTCTCTCATTTGCTTTCTAAAAAACTAGAGTAATCTTATCATGTTGTCTGGGATACTGTTGTGAAAAAGATCGTGTTTTTGGATCGTTTTTTAAGATTTACAAAAAGCTTTCAGGATGCCGAGAAAATAGCCAAAGAAGCGGCAGAGATTCACAGTAAACAACTGAAAAAATCTCATCCAAAAGAATATCAACAATGTTTTGGAGAAAAGAAAAAACCGAAAACGACGAAAAAACCGACAACGATTAGTACAAATTGAAAAATGATGATCAATAAAGTTTCAGAATTTATAAAATGTTTAAATTTTTATGGATGAATTGCTTGAAGATCACATATTCAAAGTTATTAAGTTAGTTATTAGTTATTAAATTTTAGCTAAACCCTTGACAAATGCGGATTTCTATCCAGTGTTTGGTTCTAATGATAGGCTAAAAATGTAGGTTTTAAATGCTAAATGAAATCTATTCACGAAATTCGTTCTCGTAAAGGACCTGGCACATCATTTTTTGGTCATTTCTCCTTAGAAAAAAGCCTTGTTAATGAGTTTTTCAGTTGTTAATCAGTTTGTTAATCAGATTTTTCACTAGAGAATGTTGTCAAGTCAAGATTGATTTTTCACATGAGCCTTGGCCCATCTGATAGAGTTTTCATCGGGGTTTCCGAATCTGTTGTTAGTTTTTCCGGAAAGCTCTGTGATGCGAGTTATTTAGCATACAAAATTTTGACTTTTTTCCGCTGGTTTACAAGCTTTTCTCATCATTTTCTAAATGTGCTCTGATTGGTGTGGTTATGATTAGTGGTTATGATTTGGTTATGATAATGATTAGTGATTGGTGTGGAGACGTTCGAGAATCATGGCTCGAATCCCTTCACTGCCCACTTTTTTTTATTGTTTAATGGCTCAAGTGAAGACTCGATCTTGACTTGACAACATTCCCCAGTCTGTCCTTTGCGCTCTTTGTACTTTGCTAACCTGTATTCTTTGAAATTTGTGATTGGCATTAAGGGGAGTGGCACTTTAAGGGCGTAGTCACTTTTAATAACCCATTTTATCGTTTATCGTTAGTGATCTATTTAGTTTAACCCCGAAAACTTTGATAGACAGCTGGACAACGCCCACTCTCACAAAGGTGTGGTTGAAGACGTCAGCATGTCATTTTAAAATTAAAAAATTTCAAACTTTCCAGTTAGTGAATCAAATGTCGGAACGCTTTCTATCTTTTTGCTTTCCTTTGAGAAACTAATCTTTTCCTTTTCCATATCAGAAAATTCCGACCACACCTAGATTTAAAAAAGGTGAGAAAAAGGAAAGAAAACGACGAATCGTTTTAGGCTATCACTTCGGCTGGACTCAATTCTTACTAAAATTTCTCCAGGGACCAAGAAATAATATTAATAATAATATATTATATTATTATTATTACTGTTTTTATAATATTAAGTTGATTCAATTTTTGCACATTTTTGCACATTTCAAAGTTCAATTTTCAATTTAGCAAGGCTAGTTTTGAAGTTTAATCAATAGTTTTTTGGGCACACGTTTTGGAAACCCGAATTTCATAAATTTTTTGATTATCTTTCGGAGAGTACAAAGATTTCGAGTTGAAAATTCTTAGATAAAGTTGAGTTCTCATAAATTTACAAATGAATTCAAGAATTTATTTAAAACTTTCAAATAACCCTTAGAAATTGCGATAACAAACACCCGTAATTGTGCAAATGTGTGGCAAGTAGTTCGCGATTTTCGTGAATCTGAAATTGTTTGCCTTAATAAAATGTGGAGAAATCGTTTCAGCTTTCAAAAGTATTATGGAGTGGGCCCCCGGGAGTCGAACCCACAACGACTCGCTTACCGGGTCACTGTGCTAACCATTACACCACAAGGCATTTGATCTCACTTGCTCCAGAGGGAGTTAACTTAGCGCAACCCAGGTTTACAAATCGAGACGTGTGGAACGTCCGTCGTCCAGAGAGGAGGGAAGTTAACGCCCTCTGGAGTAAGGAGAACAAGTGCGTTGTCGTGTAATGGTTGGCCCAGTTGTCTGATAAGCGAAAGAACTCGGGTTCGAGGCCGGACACGTGTTTTGGATCTGCCTTTTTTTCAACTATACAACAAGGAAACGTCGCTAAAAAATTTTACACTTAAAGTCAGCGGAAAATTGACGAAACACTTCTCCAAACCAAAGCCACTATAAAGCATGACAACAACTAAAACATTGTAACAACTGAAATAAAATGTTCGACTAGGGACTATCACTATATTATGACAGTACATTATTTAAGTTTCCAGCTATGTACTTCAAAAGAAAACCTCGCCAACATATTTGAAGGACATCCCTTTGTGCCAAATGACGTCAACGCGACGAGTTCAGCTCGTCCATTTTGATCTCTTTGCTCCATTCCTGACCCAGAATCACCCTAAAAAGAGTTTTAAATTAAAGTTTTATCGAATATTCTGAAAAATTGTTTCAAAAAATTTACATGACATGTCCTTGGTGCTGTGTAGTTTCTCATATCAACCGAGTTCGCACAAAGATAGTCTTCGGCCTGGAAAAGATTGGTTACAAATGAATCTGAAATAGGCTTAAATCTGAAATACGAATAGTTAGTTCTATTCTAAAATAAAAATTCACTTCAAATATATTTTCCTTACGCATTTTGCTTACTTTACAAAAGCTGAGATGAAATTTGTTGCATGAACGCTTTTGTGGGAGTTTTATGTTTCAAAATGGTCGACTTGGCCAGGCTTTCTCGTCAAATAATAACCCCCATGGCGAGATGGCCGAGCGGTCTAAGGCGCCATTTTAAGGCACTGGTCTCTTCGGAGGCGTGGGTTCGAATCCCACTATCGTCAGAAATTTTTGTCCCGATTTTTAGCAAACTTACGTCATTGGGTAAAGTGTCGGACCAAGGCCGAGAACATTCTCGATTCAGATACATCGGAGTCTCTCGAATATACGGATTTCCATCAACGAAAGCTGGAAATTTTCTTGGTTACTTTTCGATCCCTTGAAATCCATAATTTGATTAAAATTTGATTTACCCGAAGCTCGTCCCCATCCAGAAACACTCAGAATCTGATCAAGATACAGATTTCTGTTTGGCAAGCAAATCGGCTTTGTGTGGTTATTCCAAACTATCGGCCTGTAATGGAAATATTTTATCATTTACAAAAAAGGATCACTTTTCTAGTTCAATAATCGCCCAATCGTGTCCTTTCATGCAATGATTCTGGGCAAAATCCTCGTCAATCATCACGGAACGGATCTGTGATGGTTTTTTAGTAGTTAAAACAGAAGATTTGTATCAAGTAAGTCGATTGCCTTGAGTTGTATTCATTGAGTTGAATACAGGGTGACCGGAGCTCTGTTACTTTTTGAAAATTGAAGAAAAGTCACATTTTTCTTGAACAACTGTCTTATTCATGTTTTTTTATTGAAATTGGCGTATTTTTGACCTGGTTTTATTGATTCCATTACTGTTTTTAACTTTGATTTTTCAGGATGACGGGCGATAGGGAACGCATCACCATCATCGAGTTGCACAAGCGTGGATTCAAGAATCCAGACATTGTACGAGCGCCTGGATGCAACAAAATGAAGGTCAAACGGACAGTGAATCGTTATCAAGAGTTGGGAGATGATTCGGATCGACCCAGAAGTGGAAGACCACCGACCGCAGAGAATATCAACAAGATCCGATGCCGAATTTGTCGCAACCCAGAGATTTCGATGTGAAGCCTCGCAAAATCGTTGAAAATCAGCAGAGAACGAGTGCAAACGATTGTTAGGAAGAGCTTAATATGTTGTTGTCGTTGACAAGTGGGTATTGTAAGGGTTTTTGTGGTTTACTTTATTGTATGTGACATCCGGTCTCATACATCGTTGATCGTTCGGAAGCCAATCCGCTTTGTCCCAACTAAAGCTTATTTTTTTGGAACTTTAACTGTTTAACTACTTTAACGGTTACTTTAAACTGTTTTCCTAACCCACCCTCGAATGCATTTCCCACCATAAGCCACGAATCGCTGTTGAAGCTCGTCGATTGTTCGATAGCGATCGATTCTGAAATTTCGCTGGATTTTAAGATTTTAAATGGTTTACGCTTAGCTGAGCTGAATTTTAAATCAAATCTACAACACTAGAAGAATTTTAAGCCCAATGGTTTCTGTTTCAAGCTAAACTTACATACACGGAGTTAATTCTTGACCTTTGAAGACGAGAAAACCGTGAGCGACCGTCAAAATGTGAAACGGGGAAATGATTGATCCGCCAAGCTGATTTCGTGAGAGTTCCAGGGGGAAATTTGGTTTCTAAAGATTTTTAGCTGAAGTTGATTGTTAAAGCTTGACTTGAGCTAAACTCAAAAGAACTTGAGCAATTAGAAAAAAAAATACCCATAAACATTACAGATTTTCTTGAAACGCACAAATTTGAAGAGCGAAATTGCCCATGGGAACTCTTTCTCAAGAGAGTATTGATTCTGATAGCCACATATTGACGCTAAATGGAAATTGTCGTCGATTGAGAGATGGTTTCGGACTGAAAGTTGGATAGAATGATAAATGAAGAACAAGAATAGGGTTTTTTTTAAATACTCACATGGTGGCCCGATAAAATGTGGTCGAAAGGCGGTAGAAATTTGTGTAATCAGCAATAAAATTAGTGAGATTGGTGCTGTTGTTGGCATAAATCTGAAAGAATGAGAGATTTGGGAGCAGAATGAGACTTCAAAGCTCTTGAACTGGATCATAATCGGGGTTGGATAGAAAAAGTTGAACTTATTTAAAGACAAAGCAATGGAGTCGGAACTCGTGGGTCGCCGGGACTCGAACCCACAACCTTTCGCTGACAGGTAGACTAAGTTCGGGTGAAAAAAGAATAAAGATTTACATTACTTAAAATGATAGTACTAAAGTTATAACGTTAAAAAATAAAACTGCAAGTAAATCAAAATAGTTTCCGAGAAAACAAAAATATCTGACGAGAGTGGGATTCGAACCCACGCCTCCGAAGAGACCAGTGCCTTAAACTGGCGCCTTAGACCGCTCGGCCATCTCGCCACATTTTCGCAGATTGATATTTGGACGGTAAAAGTTGGCAATCAATCGGAGTCAAAGAAAGGGATAAAAGAGAGAAAAGTGTCAAAAACCACTCAGATTAGAATGCCGAAAAAACCAATAAAAAGAAAAATAAACCCAATAAAAAGGCTTAAAAACAAATCTAGACGTTCAACTATTGAGTAGTTGAACGTAAAACAGCAATGCGAAACCGTCACCTTTCCACACAATCATTTCCTCTCTTGAAATGACCTTTGTCTCTTTTGTTTCTCTTTTCGTTTTCTGTTTGTCGATTAAAAGAAAACTATCGAATCAAGAAGAATCATTGATGCTTTTCCCTTTTTTCTCTTTTCACCTTGCCCAAGCACCATAAAATTGGTTAATTTGGTTCTGTTTTCACATAGACAACACACACAAAAAGTGAAAAGATGATCTTGAGAAATTGTCAGCTAAAAATTGAGAACTGTGCGCGTTTTTATTTTCAAATTTCATAACTGCTGCAAAACTCGAAAATATCGTCGTTGTTTCATTTGTTGAAAAAATTACCATACAAATTTGCGCTTAATGACTAATTTACGTTGGACAATTTGCATTTAAAATTTTTCATAAAAATGGCCAGCTAAATATCCCATTTCTATCAATCATGCTTTTGTCAAAGGCCGCTTTTTTTGCCATTCTAATCTCGGTGAGTGATTTTTGACACTTTTCTCTCTTTTGTCCCTTTTTATTGAAAGCCAACTTTTCCTATCAAATATTAGTCCGGAAAAATGTGGCGAGATGGCCGAGCGGTCTAAGGCGCCAGTTTAAGGCACTGGTCTCTTCGGAGGCGTGGGTTCGAATCCCACTCTCGTCAGATATTTTTGTTTTCTCGGAAATTATTTTGATTTACTTAATTTTACTTTTTATCTTATAACTTTAAAATTTTAGGCTACGATCGGTGTGAATGGCCTCAACGGCAGGACGACCGGCATTCTCAATTGGGAGAAGGTGATGTTTGCGATTTTGTATTTGATAATTATTTCCATTTCTAGCGAACCGCCTTCCCGTTTAACGATTGGCATTGTGGATATAGCGAATCGATTCGGAATGATACGTACGCATTGGCATTACGAGAAGCACCAAGGGCTATGGGTAAGCTTAAAGTTGTAACAAAGTGCAGAAGCACAGTTGGCACAACCAGGCAAATTTTTTTGCCTTAAGAGTGTTTGGCTTGATAAACGCATTTAGCAGCAATTTGTTAGATAACGTTGCTTATTCATTAAAACTTTATGTTTTTACTTTAGAACTGATCAACGAGTGCTGCATTGTGCATCAGCATTGCTACACGAAACAACATGGACGGAGTACGTGCGATCATCGTGTTTGTGGCTGTGTCACGAATGTTGTTGAGGTAAAAGATACTTTATATTGTTTGAAGTTGTTGTTTAAAGTTGTTGGCAGCTAGGCTGCTAAAGTTCATTTACTGAAATGATTATAATATATTGATTTTTAGAAGCACGCTCTACCGCAAGCGGCGAGATACATGTGGAACATGGATGAATGTGAGCGAAGACTCGAAAATGGTTCAGCAAATGCGTACAAAAAGGCTGCTAATGTAAAGATTGGTGAGTTGGTTTGGGAATTTTCTTGTAAAAGTTCTAATGCAAGTTAAAAGATGAAAAGCTAGGTAGTTTTTAGTATTACCATTAGTAAGTTTTTGTTAAATCACTAAATTATTGGGTCAATGCATATGAAATGGCTAAATTTTTCCAGATTTTCCTAATCAAACTAAAGATTCCAAAAAGTTCTTATATGATTTATTGCTAGTGAAAAGTTATGCAATAATCAGCTTTATTGACCAAAGATTCCAGCCGTGGAACAAACTATTTCAAGAAATCATGATTTCCATGGGCGTTTTCAATAAAAAGCTAATTCATTAAGAAAACCCCGGCTTTATAGCTTCAAATTATTTTCAAAACTCAAAAATATTGATAAAAATTCACTGAAATCTTTGGATAGAACCATGTTGGTTGAAAAAATATCAAGCTAATAGAACTTTGACTCAAAAGAACATCAAAGTTGAGTTGATTCGAATGATCGAAAAGTTTCTTCAGCATTTCATGTCAAATAAAAAAAAGTTGCCCCGCTCTTATTAGCTTAAGATTATAACTTTTCATTCTAACCAAACAGAAATTAGATAGTTGCCCTGGTGGAGAAATTTACATGGATTAGCTATTTCATATGCATTGACCCAATAACTCTTTAGTTGCAAGTAGATTGAAGTTACAAGTGTAGTTGAGAGCATAACACATAAGTTGCCAGTTAATCATAAACTTTTGTATTTGTTTAGTTTCCACCGAGGATCACTGTGATACGGAATGTCGTCACTCGTATGGAATCGCCGTCTTCCTGGCCACTATCGTTGCTGTCACTTTCCTCTTTGTTTGTTTCCGCGGATGCACGTGAGTTTACTTTTATCTATCTAATTATCATAAAATTAAAAGTAGAATTTTATGGAGAACGTAATTTTGAATTACAATTATCGTATTTTCTATAATAGTAGTGCTCCCTGAGCGTCGCCTAAATTGCACGAAATCTCGAGGACCGCTTATCAGAATCTATCGATGTGGGGTCGAAAAATGTAGCTGACGATGAGATCTAGTGGGGGATTAGAGTGTTGAGCTTCTGCAAAAGCTTGGAAACCGTAAAATGGTCACCAGCTCGCCGGAGTGCACTACTATTAGAGAAAATACGGTGTATCAGTTTTCTTTTTCAGGAAGCCATCAAAACTCGAACGTGTCAAGGGACGAGGCGAGTTTTTTAAATTTAATTTTGTTTTTAATAGAATCGATGGCTATAAATCGGAGCCGATATTGTGTCTATTTTTATAATTTTAAAGATTTGATACAAATCTTTCTTTTTAGCTAGCCTTCAGAACATGCGCAACAACAATGGACAACAGCCGCCCAAATTTCTTGTGTAAGTGGATTTGGATATTTTACGTAGCTAAACCTTTAGATAACAAGCGTTTTTGTTATAAATCTACTCATTTTATCAGTGTGTTTTTTTCTTAGATACCCATCCCGAAAGCAATCCGGCTATCAACCATTGTACAGCACTGCATAGAAATATTCTCTCGATGATTTTTCAGTCTCTTTTTCGATAAATATTTATACCTCGGTGTAAAGTGAAAATGAAAAAACTTTTCATAATAAATTTTTGGTAATTTACGATTCATAATGTTTATTTTTAGTCACGAGCATTTTTCTAGCACACGTAATATTGTGCACTCTATTTCGGGTTCTTCTACGGTTCTATTTCGGGTTTTTCATTTGTTTCTCGGTACAACGGATTTGGGTGAATAGCTGAAAAGTAGAGGATTTGGATGTTGTCATATACTATAGTTTGACCTCATGGCAAAAACGTGTGGGGAAAAGCTATCGTACTGGTTTTTTTTGGATTTAGCCTAGTCCTTGGTGATCTACCCGTTTAATTCTGGGTTGAAAAGGAAACGAACGGGGTTTACGGTAGTTTTTGATAAATAACCCTCACCCATTTCTATTTTGCACTCGATTCTGTCGCATTTTTCTCCAACTTGACCAAAAATTCATTTTTTTTCGGGGTCTTTTCGTGACCCTCCTACTTCCTCGCATGGGTTCGCCGTGCTTTTTAATTTCTTGTGTCACATAGAGCGCTTTTCGCAACATTAACGATAAATCTTATAAAATTTGTCGGCTTCTATCAGCATACGTCATCCTCGATTCATTTCTTTTGTAAAACGACACTGGAGAAGCTTCAAAACATTGTTTCTCGTCAATTTTATTGTTTGGTTTACAAAGCAAGCGGTGGTTGACTTATAAGCAAATTTCCGGGTGCGATCTGCGAATGGATTGCCCACAGGGCAGCTGGGATTGGGACGCGAGCCTGGGACTGGGACGCGAGCCTAGTCCCGAGCCATTGAAGCTCCAAAGGAGCTGAAATGGAGGAGGAATGTTTCACGCTTAAGCCACTACTCTTGGTTAATATTCTAAGCAAGTGAAATACTTACAAATTTTTAGGCGTTCTTATAAAGTCAAATTTGAAATACAAATTTTTAATTTGTATTTCAAACTTTTAAACTTTTTTCAACGTGTTTTCGTGAATCAAGTTTCGGTACTTTGTGGGTTGGAGGGCCACCTATATTTTTCATTTTTTCACTTTTCTAGGGGTAATCGAGGGCGCTGAGCACGAATTTGACAATTTTAGCATAGGTTTTCAACTGAAAAATCACCATTACGACACGTTGAAAATGACACTTTTTTGCACTTTAAATTTGTGTACTCAAGCTATCGACTATTGAGGCGATTTTCAAGGTCAAAACTAGAGCCAAAACCATTTTTAACCACTAAATATTCATTTTCTAACCTAAATTGATTAGTAGAGGCAAAACAAATTGAAAAATATTTTTTGAGATTTTGACTCATGTGGGGGACCACATGGTCGAAATTTTGAAAATTTTTTTTTATGTTCTGATTTGATCAGAAACGTAATCAGTAGCCCCGAAACTTGGCTTAAAACGCATTTTCTCAAGCTCTCGTTGTATTTTTCGGAATCTACGCATAAAATTATCCCAGAAAAAGTGGTTTTGAAGAAAACAATGCCCCGCTAACCTTCATAGCGCCTAAAAGGGTAATTTTCAACGTGTCGAAATGTCGGTTTTTCAGTTGATAACCTATGCTAAAACTGTCAAATTTGTGCTCAGCACCCTCGATTACCATTAGAAAAGTGAAAGAAATGTGAAAAAATCAAAAATATAGGCGGCTTCCCGCCTACATTTGGGTACAAAGTACCCAAGTTTCAATTTTCTCGCTTCGATTTCAAGCTAAACAACTCGAATGCATGGTGGAAAATGATGAATAGTACTTTATTTCTTCCCTTTTGACAGCATTATGAAGCTGGATCTTCTTCTTGAAACGATAGACTTTCTCACGGATCATTGCTTCTCTAAATATTTTTCAGCTTTGGGTAACTTTAGTATGCATCCCAGCGTTTTTCCAATTTCCCAATTCCACACTCACCCGGTTCGCAATTTCGATACACCCAATTCGTCGGCCCTTTATTTGTCTGGTAGCGCTTTTTGCCGTGCGAGTATTTCGCGCCAAGGAGCGCGCCGCTCTTTGAACTTCTCCGCCTTTGACGTTTTCTCAAAAAATCAAAAATTTTCAAAATGTTTTTAGTGCCAAAAGGTAAGAATACATATTTTCCCCAATATGTTCAGAGAAAATAAACGTAAAATTCATTTTTTGAAGTCCACCTAGGCGGCCTTTGATTTCACTTTTGACCTTTGATTTCACTGCCAAATTCAGTTTTTTCACGTAAATCAAAAACGGTTAAAGATTTTTCAATTCTGATTTGACAGACCAAAACGCAAGGGTCGATTAAATCTTGTCTCAAAAAATCAAAACGAAATTTCTACTGGATCTCGAGTTATGCGGTGAACGGACAGACACACACAAACTTTGCATCTTATAAAAAGTAAGTACCATCTACAAAGGAAAAGAAAAATCTCTATGTAAATAACATAAATGTAAATGGTGTTCTTTGTGCCCAAATTTTTGGTAAACTTTTCCCCGTGAATTTGTTTATTTTTTTTTTTGCTGATGTTACTTAAAGATGTTACTCACTCGATACACGATTACAAGTAAATTCTGTTGATTTTTGATTTCGTGGACTAATTCTATGGTTAGACTCTGAGCTGATATAGTCTAATGCAATAATTGATTTTCAAAATCAACTCCAAAATCACCACATTTCAGTCGTATCAAGCTGCCTTAAATGAATGCACCAATTTGCACACAGATCAAATGGGATCTCTGGCCATTGTGGACACGCCAAGGTAAACTTTTCCCCGTGAATTTGTTTATTTTTTTTTTGCTACAAATTGAATACAAAACCAGACAAGACCCAAATAAGTCTAGTCTAAACAACTCTATTTCAAGTTTCAAAGTTCTGATCAAAAATAAAACATAAACTTTATTGGCCGTTAAAGAAAAGGAAAGGCCACAAAGAAACCCTCAAAATTTCTCTATTTTGAAAGAAAATCTTCTCAACTTTGTGTGAAAACCAAAACGAGCTTTTAACGGCTTTTCAAAGCAAGAGGAACCATGTGAAACGAGGCTTTTTTCGGTCTGAAATGACTAATTTCCAGCGTCATGTTTGGAATTTCGAAAAGAAGAAAAATAAACAAAAAAAAAGACAAGAAATTTTAGCAAAATGGGGAAAATACTTGAGGAGAGTTAAAGTCGATTAAAAAAAAAGGATTTCCCACATAGTGGAAAGGGCCGTTCCGGTGCGGTGACCGGTTTGAAGATAGGGAAATCGGGGGAAAATAAAAATCCCCGTGGCGAGAGTTTTCACAGAGGATTTGGGAGTGCTTTTAGAGGATGGCTTGCTTGAAAAATAGTTTATTTGATCATCTATTAATTGTTTGCAAAAGATCACACCACTTTTGAAATGTAATCTTCGCTTCTGAAGCTTTTACGCTAAAACTTTTGCTACTTTTTTGAGCGCCTCGGTTAGGAGTAAACTTTAAACGTATTTGATGATAATAAAGCAGCTTGGAGCCTATTTGAGCTTAATTTAAACATTTTCTGAAAGTAGGAAAACTCCACCGCTTGCTCATTCTTGCTTCATTTTATTCTTATACGAAAACTCATTTTGGAGTTTGTCCTGAATTCTAGAATTGCCATTTTGTCATTTTTATCGTTTCTGTTAAAAAGCTTCATAGAACTGAATTGTTCGTAGAATATTAGTGATTAGAGGCTAATTAAGGAAAGGTACAGACTCAAGGTGAGCTTTTGTCTGGACACCTAGTGCACTTTTAAGAATCGGGTATGAGAAATCCGAATCTCAAATCAAATCTCAATGCCAAATGACTGTCAATGCCAAATGACTTTCCGTGTAAAACTTCAATCGAAAGTTTGCAAAACGAATGCTTTAAAAGGCTCCTTCCTAGGTCGGAAGATGTTCATTGGTAGCCTAGTGCATAACGCTTTAGGCTTCAGCCCACAGGATCTCGGCTGGGTCCCTAGTGCAGCTTTCTGTTTTTATTTTGAAGTAACATTTTACAGATTGCATTATCTAAGTAGGAATTGGTTACTCTTTTTTGCCTTTTATTATTTATTTACCTTTCTCTAGTAAGTTAGGCATAGCGAACTTTTCTTTAATTTCAAAATCTCTGATGATAATAAACCAGCTTGGAGCCATTTTGATCAAAAACTCAAACTACTTTCAAGAGTCTTTAAGCTTATTTTCTTGCTTTTATTCATCTATCGACCTATTGAATTTGAAAAAAATGAAAATCTGTAGCAACTTCTGGTAGTAAATGCTCTAAATCTAACAAATTGTCTATAGTAAGCTGAAAAAATAGCTTATTTTTAGAGAAATTTCTTGTTAATGAAGCTTTTTCAAAAGAATTTGACTTAAAAGAATCTTTCTTTGGAAAATAACTTTAACGCCTTTTATCGAAATTCGTCTCAATCTTTCGTTCGTTAAGTTTCTTTTTGTCATTGATCAAAGACTTTCAAAGTTTACATGTTCTTTTACACAAATTTCCTACTTTTTCAAGCTCAGTTTTAAAGGCAAAAGAAATGTTTTGAGAACAACATTCCAAACTGGTTTTTATCGCGTTTCCCATGTTCTTTTCAAGACAAGTTTCATTGAATCCCCCATTTTTCTCTCAGCTGTCCAACTCATCCCGTGCTAATTTGTTGACACTTGTTCATAAAAAAAATGACCTTCATTTTTATCTCGTCTTTTCCCCAAAAATTTTCCGAAATCAACCCCACCAGTAGCCAAAAAAAAGAAATGGCTAACTAGATCGAAATCTGGATAAACTTTGAGAAAAATTTTCGAAATAGGAATGCCATAACATTTTTAGATGTAAATATTTTGTTTAAAGTTTAAATTTGAAGCTTGAACTTATCTTTATCGACTAGGTGAGAGTTTGAAATGCTAATGAATTGCTAATTGTAAGGATCTTCAACTTCTCTAGCATTTGAGTAACTCTAAAATTTGTACCAGCATTTCCAGTGCTACCAGCATTTCCAGTGCTACCAGCATTTCCAGTGCTACCAGCATTTCCAGTGCTACCAGCATTTCCAGTGCTACCAGCATTTCCAGTGCTACCAGCATTTCCAGTGCTACCAGCATTTCCAGTGCTACCAGCATTTCCAGTGCTACCAGCATTTCCAGTGCTACCAGCATTTCCAGTGCTACCAGCATTTCCAGTGCTACCAGCATTTCCAGTGCTACCAGCATTTCCAGTGATTACCGTAGCTAGTAATGTTGAGCTTTTCGATATGATTATATTGAATTTTTATTTATTCTTGAACTTTATCTTGTTTTCTTTATGAATTCTTGCATCAAAGAGTCCTTTTCATGTCGCAGAATGACGTGGATCGGTTGGAGTTCGTCTGTCGGTTCCCTCGTCGCGTTGACCATTTGCATTTTCTATCTACCGTACCTGCACTATCAAGTGAGTTGAAAAGATTTTAGCTGACTAGGGTGAAGCTTTTTATTCATTCAACAGATAGCGCTACCGCTTTGTAGAGCTCATAGTCAGCTACCGTACTTGTAACAAAAACATCTGCCAATCCTTTTTTGCCGTTTGCAATTTAAGGTTTTTTCTCAGCGCCAACCCATCGATTTTGACTATTTTGACTGTCATTCGATACAGAATAAAATTACGCATCAAATGATATCAAAACCAGCGCAAAATATAATCTCCACACAAAGTTATCAGGCAAATACACAATTCACTAAAGTACAAAGGCAGAGTGGAGAGAGAATTTCTCGATCACTGGCATAAAGGTCGAATTGGAAAGCCGTCAAAATTGAAACTTTGCTTTTTGAAGTAAGAATTATCAAGATTTTTAAGTCTAAAGCCTAAAATTTTCAGCTATAAGACGAAAATCTACAATTTCAGACAATCTTTAGGTAAATGGCATTCAAATGGACATGTCTCAACGCGGGGATCAATTCAGAATAAAGGAACAAGAGGCTTTGGAAGGATTGGAGGCTTGCTTTCACAGATCATTTAGCATAAACAGACAATAAACTTGATTGGGTCTAATTTTGTAGGGTTCTTGCTTAGGCTTTTCATTTAGTTGATCCGGAAAGGTGTTCCCCGAGTACGAAAAACACGAAATGCGCCTCAATGCGGCTGTGACAGTGATCAACGGTGTCCAATGGGAGCACAAGGAGCACCGGGAATCGATGGAGAAAATGGGAAAAATGGTGGGCAGAGTTGATTCTTGATTCTAGTGCTAACAATTCTATACTCATGCTTAAGTTTTGAAAACTTTGAAAGCCTCCTGATAATCGATTTTAGGGGAACCTGGCTCAAAGGGAGTCCCCGGACTGGCAGGCATCGTTCCCGCCGAGCTGATGATGGAGGGAGGCTGTGAAGCTTGTGTGGAATGTCCACCAGGGCCTGAGGGACCCGAAGGACCACCTGGACCTCCAGGACCAAAAGGAGAGCCCGGAATCGATGGAGAGCCTGGAGAGGTCGAGTCATTTTCTCGATGCCATCAATTCGCTTTAGAATAGTCATGAAGTTGGTGAGCCGGGTCTGCCAGGCCCCCAAGGACCCAATGGAACACAAGGAGATCCAGGACATCCTGGCCCTGAAGGAGCCCGAGGAAAATCGGCGCCAAGGGGAGGAATGGGCAAAGAGGGACCAAGGGGAAAGACTGGCCCAACCGGGCCACCTGGAGAGCCTGGAGATCGGGGATTGCCTGGTAGGTGTAGAGAAAGTTGTTGTATTCAAAACCAAGAACAATTCAATGGTTGAGTTATCTAGCAAACTCTTGAATCTTAATGGAATAACACTAAAATTTCGGCTGAACTTTACGAAGTGATGAAGAATGAGAGTTAACTTCGTTTTTTATCGCTTCCCAATCAAGCCAAGCTGTCAACAGCAAAATATTATATAATATTATATAGAAATGAAAAAAAAAAAAATATCTACGTATTAGTCTCGTTACGTACCAAGCAAAGAACTTTACGAGGCGAGGACTCGAACCCGAGCAGAATATGAATAGCACGCTTTGTAGACAAGCACGTTATCCGCTAGGCTACCAGTTTATATAGACCTGCTGCGAGAAATGCGTTTTCAGGTCCTACACTAGCAAAAAAACAAAAAAAAGTGTGAGGCGAGGACTCGAACCGGAGATGTAAACGGACAGCTCGCTTTGTTTACACGCCCCTTATCCGCTAGGCCACCAGCTAAGATCAAAACGGCGCGAGAAAAGCGTTTTAAGGCCCTTTTAAGGAACGGGTGTCAGTGTAGCTCATTGGTAGAGCGTTCGCCCGATAAGTCGGAGTTCGCCCGTTAACGAGAGGTCGGGGGATTCGAATTCCGGCGCCGACTATGTTTTGTATTCCCAGCCATAAAAGGACCAACTTCATAAGATCATCGGCCAAGATCATAACCTTTCAAAAAGAAAACTTCCAGGTGCTCCCGGTCAGGACGCTCGTCTGGGTGAAATGGGTAAATCGGGAGAAGACGGTGAACGCGGGAAACCGGGAAAACCGGGTCCAATAGGTGAAGTTGGATGGCCGGGAAGGGATGCTCATTATTGTCCATGTCCACGCAGAATGGCCTCACTTGAGACGTACAATAAGATGAAGAAAAAGCGAGAAGCGGCACAGAAGAAAAGAAAATCGATAAAGAAGAGGACTGTCAAGTATGCACCATAGGTTTTTATTTCAAAATCTTCACCCAATTGCCGGGGAATTTGACCGTATCTTATTTGCCTTATAAATGTTCAAAATTTCATCAAAATTTCAATGTAATTTCCCGAATTTTAACGGCTTTTCACAGAAAAACATGACCATTTTGTGTGTATAAAGAATTTTTTTGATGTGTTTTTGTGAAAAGTTTCTACAATTTAAACAAACAAAGTAACAGATAAATGGCACGAAAAAAAAATGATATAAAAATTACACGTAAGGATTACACGCAAATTGAAAATCTATATTAAGTAGCATCCGTTGTAACATTCTCAAAATCGATATCGACAACGACAACAGATGTGGGACTGGGTTGATCGCTTGTGGAAGATAAGGGATCACAGGGAAAAGCCTTGTTGATCTCTTTGATGCTTCGCTGGAAATGTAAAGTTTATATGTCGTAGCCGATTATGAATGAAATTTTTTGGCAAATCTTTCTAGTAGAGCAACCCTTTAATGTATGAGGACAATATTATATGATCTTGTAGCGAATTAAATTCTGCGTCGATCGGTACCAAATTTGTGAGTTTAGGTTAAAAATTGCCGGCGCTAGAACGTTTCATTCAAATTCGGCGGGACCCCCGTAGCCGATTATGAATTTCAGCCGATTATGAATGAGTGGAGCGTCCAATGAGTGTCTAGGAGCGTCCAACCATCAAGTATTTAGTATCATTCAACGCAGAATCATTAATAATTATGTTAACTTTTTAAAATTAGAAAGATTTGATAAAAAGAAAAAAAATTAGAGCAAAAAAACTGTTTGTTCAAGAGGAAACCTTGAGGCCCGATAATTTTTTTTCTTTTTATCCAATCTTTCTAATTTTAAAAATTTAACATAATTATTAATGATTCTGCGTTGAATGATACCAAATACTTGATGGTTGGACGCTCCTAGACGCTCATTGGACGCTCCACTCATTCATAATCGGCTACGACATATATATTCTGAAATTCTAGTTTTCATTTGAAAAGTGGAATTTATCTAGAAACAAAAAAATCTAATTCATCTAAAACTACGGAAATCTGTCCCATTGTCAGTTCGCTTTCAGTCAGTTTCAGTCCAATCTTTACGCTTTCAGTCCAATCTTTACCAGCTTTATCGATCAATTCAACTTTCTCACCCGAATTCGTTTATTGTATGCCTTCATGGGTTTAGAGAATTCTTGTGTATCCTTCTTCAGTGTTGTGCTCAATCTCGACAACAAATGTAGACCCGATTTCGCAGTTTCGAGACAAGTCAAGGCGTTGATCTTCTCTAGTGTCCCCGAAAGTAACTGAAAACTTATTAAATAAATGAGAACAAACATCTATATAAAAAGGAAAGTGTTTTTCCGTCCGTCTGTCTGTCTCAGCTTTCCGTGGGTCGATTTACATGTTTTTCAGTTTGTTATGTAGTTGCGCATCTCAAATTTCGTTTTTTTTAAAAACCAAGAGTCACGAGAAAGTCGGGAGTCGAACCCGGATCGTGTGAGCCGTAGACAAGCACCATCCAACTGTGCCAGGACGCTGTTAAGCGGGTTTTTCTGGCCTCTAAATAAAAATCCACTCACTTTTGACAAAATTTGTAAGCTTTGGTTGAGTGACTCGTAGTCTTGAGTGATCGGATCGATATTTGCTGTGCATTGATATTGGACATATTCTTTCGTCGCAGTGATCAGGGAATTGAGCTGAAAAAGTTCCGGTAACAGTAGCTTTGTTCCAATTGAAATCGAAATTATTGTAGTTTGAAACCACTCACTGTTAGCACCAATTACCGATTTTAGTATTCGTCGTACTTTATTCGTGTCCTTTTTATCACCTTTATCAGCTTAGGTTACTTTATCCGTGCTTTAGAGTTCAGCCGGTTACCGTAATTCACTCTTTCTTGGTCAGTAGGCTTGTTTCTAGACTCTTTTCCTAATTTCCTAGCCCAAGTTAAGATCAGCCTTGCCAAATCCAAGCAAAATCCTTGATGATCTAAAAACTTAAGCAACAATCAAACCAAGATCACGGGAAGGCAGGGCTAGGTCCCTGGCCTAACTTCTGAGCTTGGCTGATCAAACCTGACTGCTGACTTGGTCATGTCTGATTTGGCTAGGCCCTAGTAGATATGGTCGCCACAAACTACAGGACCAGACTACAAATCCTTTTAGAAGCGCACAGAAACGATATTTTTGATAACTTTTTTATCAAAACATGAGGCTAACTTTAAGCTTCCCAATGACAAAAAAAACAAGCCAAATCATTTTCTCGGCGCTGAGTATAAGGTTTTTCCCATCTTTGTAGTCTCGTCCCATGAAAAACAGCTATAAATGGCTCTTTCTCGGAGTCGAGATGATGGATTGACTTGATTTTGGTGTTATTCGAAACCCAAAACTTGGGCCAATTTTTTGGTCAAAAAAGTTTACAAAAATATCGTTTCTGTGCTTTTCTACAAGGGTTTGTAGTCTGGCCTTGTATCAGGTTGGCAACTAAATAATGGCCCTTTTCAGTAAAAACAAAAAATTTATTAACAAGGTGAACAAATATCAACATCAATCCAAAAGATATTCTCCGTCATTCTTTATTACTTCTTTCCACTTTTGACGGAGCAACTGGATTCCTCTCTTGAAAAATTCTTCTGGTTGATCGTCAAAGAACTTCTGCACTGAAATTCGGACTTCGTCAAGGTCATTGAACTTTTTCTCGGCTAGAAAGTGTTGCATCGATCGAAAAAGATGGTAATCACTAGGCCCCATATCCGGGCTGTATGGCGCATGAGGAAGAACATTCCAGCCCAACTCCTCGATTTTCTCCATTGTAAGTTTTGCAGTGTGTGGTTTTGCGTTATCATGGAGAAAATGAATTGAAGAGGGTTCGAGTCCTTGAGAGCGAATTGCTTGATCTACACGATGTAGTTGAGACGAATAGAGTTCTGAATTAACCGTTTGCCGGCTTTTGAGAACCTCGAAATGCACCAACCCACGAGAACCCACCACACACAGAGGAGAGTTTTCTTTGAGTGAATATCCGGCTTCGGAGTTGGTTTTGGGTCTTCGTTTGTGCTAAGCCACTGTCGTTTTCGCGTTCGATTATCATAAAAGTTCCATTTTTCATCAGAAGTGACAATGGAATTCAAGAAGCTTCCCTTTTTCGCAAGTTTTAGTAGTATTCCAGCTGTGATAACACGAGTAGCCTTATTTTCTTCGCTCAATTCATGCGGAATCCACTTTCCACTGCGGTTACTTTTCCCCAATGCATGAAGTCGCTTTTCGATTGCAGTATGCGAAAAGCCCAATCGATCCCCTAGCTCGCGTGATGTTTGACTTGGATCCTCCTTTAAGGCTGCTTCCAAAATATCGTTCTGCAGAAGTTCGGGTCGTCCTTGGCGAGGCTCATCTTCAAGACTTTCATCCCCTTCCTTGAACCGTCGATACCATCTCTTACATTGTGTTTCGGAAAGAGCCTCATCACCAAAAACTCGCAATTAAATTTCTGTGGGATTCGGCAGCTGTTTTGTCTTGTTTGTAGTCGTACCAGAGACAGACACGCATTCGATATTTGAGATCTTCCATTTCTAAACAAAATTATTTGAAAAGTATCAAATCAAGGAAAGTAAAAAACGTATAATAATGCACCAGAAATTCAGTAATATTCAATTAAAACAGCGAGGGTAGATTAAACGCAAAGATTAAAAGATTTTATCAAAAAAGGGCGAGGGCCATTATTTAGTTGCCAACCTAATAGTTTATGGCGGCTATGTTTACTAGGGCCTAGCCAAATCAGACATGATCAAGTCAGCAGTCAAGTTAGGTCAGCCAAGATCAGAAGTTAGGTCAGGGACTCGGCCCTGCCCGCCCATCATTCATGTCTAGGCCCTAGTTAAAAAAGATGTCGAACAAATAGCTCTCTTTTCCCTTTTCTCTCTACCTTGTCTTGCATGAGTTCACGCACATTGTGCCCCATTTTCTGATGATATCGGAACATGCACAGTGAGCATAACTAAAATTTCATAAAACAAGTTCAGAAACAAATTCAGAAACAATTTTTACACAAGATTTTAAGTTAAAAGTGATAAAATTTTGCTCATCAAATGATTAGGTTTTCCTTTACGGCTTTGTAAATGAAATCCTTTAAAACTAACCATTTTATCCTCACACGTGCTGCACAAGAACATATCGTTGGTGTCAGTCTGAAATTTGGTTGATCTTCAAAAAAGATAATCTTATATGATCTTATATGAAAGCATGCAAATTTCATAAACCCACATTTCTCTTGCACTCACTGCAATCAACCGATCCGACCGTTTCATCAAAATTCGGCGGATTCACCGCTTTCAACTCGGTCGAAATGTGAAAAATCTCGGGATTGTCGTTGATTTTCACTCCAATAATCGTGATCTCATCATCATCATCTTCCACATTCATCTCACTGATTTTTGGTAACGACTGGGAGTGACAGGGCTGATCATCGGGGCACAGATTCGTGTAGTTTAAGATGGGCAAATGCACGTAGAAACCTGGAATCAATGATTAGTATGAAAAAACTTTTAATTAATCCAATTAAGTTCATATTTTCTCAAAAAAAAACGATTGAAACTATCGAAAATATTGAAAAACTCAATGCTGTACCAACTATTATAAACAAAACAAACAAAAGTCTTGTATTGGGTTTAGGAGCAACGTCTTCGGACAAACTTTTGAAATGAAAAAACTAAACCATCAATTTTTCTAATAACAATTGAAGTCTTATTGATTATTTTATTGATTATTTTATTGATTATACTATTGATTATTAAAATTTCATCCCGATCTGATGCAGAGTTCTTGAGAAATGAGAGAATATAATAATACTTTATTCAAACGATAAAGTGAAAGAAATCATAGAGAAATGCACAGTGATACTTAATCATACAATACATACTGAAATCAATAAGCCAATTACTTACGGCAAAGAGCCACTAGATCTAAGGCATCGATACGTTTCTTGAATATGAAAAGCGACTGAATTTCTCGTATGTCGTTTGGGAGCAAGTTCCATAATCTAGCGGCTCTAACGGGAAATGAATTTGATAAAGAGGCATTGGAAGCAAAGGGAATTTGCAAAAGGAATGAGCCACTTCTGGGCCCTGACCGCGGTTTAAATTTGAAAAAGTCTATAAACAAAGGGCTAATCTGTTTACAACGGAGGATTTTGAAAGTTTCGACTAAATCAATGACAAAGCGACGATGCTGTAAAGTTTTTAGTTCAAAAAAAGCAAGTCTCTCCTCATAAGTAAAGCTAGAATATTTAGAATAGTCAATTTTCCATAAAGCGACTTTTGTGAACCTCCTCTGAATTTTCTCCAAGCGTTCAATAAAGACTTGTGCGCGGGGAAACCAAACAATAGAAGCATATTCTAAGATGGGCCGGATATAAGTCGTCAAGCATTTGCGGTAAGAGTTTAGGTTAGGATGAACAATTGATTTGAGAATACGGCTAGAAACAAAAGAAGCTTTTCGACAAATGATTTCAATATGTTTAGTGAAATTAAAAGGGGGGAGAGATGTGGACACCTAAATCTCTAACAAAATCTAATTTACTAATGTAATTGATAGGAATATTGTTAATTACCAAAGAGAAACTAAATTTACCAGTGGAAAAATGTTGAGATTTTGAAGGGGATAGGGAAAGCTTCCACGTTTTGGCCCACAAATTAATAAGTTCTAAGTCATGGTTTGCATCTTTTACAGCCGCAAGCGAAGCTACTTGAGTTCCGATGGGAATTTTGAACGTAAGCTTAACATCATCGGCATAGAGCCAGATGGAGGAATTTTTTGATTTGAAAGGACAGTTAGGCAGGTCATTAATATAGATAGTAAACAAAAGAGGACCAAGAATACTACCCTGAGGAACCCCGCTAGGACAATCAAAAGAGGGAGAAAGGACATTATTTAGAATTACTTTGAAAGTCCGCTGAGAAAGAAAATTTTTGACGACCGAAATTACAAGTGGACTGAGCCGGTAAGCATGCAGTTTGTGAATTAGAAGATCAATGGGAACAGAATCAAAAGCTTTTGCAAAATCTAAGAAGACGGCTTCTAGTTGGGAAATAGATTTTTCTTTTTGATCTAAAGCTTTGAAAAAGGACTTATAGGCTAAAATAAGTTGAGAAGTTGTGGATTTATTTTTAAGGAAGCCAAACTGCTGGTCAGAAAAAAGATTGTACTTATCAAAATGTTGAAAAATTTTATCTTTTATGATAATTTCAAAAAGTTTTGACACAGGAGAAGTTAAAGAAATGGGACGATAATTAGCGAATATATTTTTGGGCGATTTTTTGAGAAAAGGTGACACAAGAGATTGTTTCCAGTAAGTTGGGACCGCAGAGACAAGCAAAATTTTATTGAAGAATTTGGCAAGAGGAATGACTAGCACTTTATGTAGTTTCTTTAGAACAAAAGCAGTAATTTTGTCTGGACTAGGCGATTTTTTGGGTCTCAACTTTTTGAAAGCAGCTTCGATGTCACTAGCTGTAAGGAGGAAATCGGCTTGTGGTGGAATGGCTTTAGGCGGAAAAGCCGGGAATGGTTCATCAGGTATCTGGTTATTGTAAACACTGTGAAAGAAATTACCAAACTCAAGCACAATTTTTTATGTTTTAAAAAAGTCAATTTTAACTAATATTTGACTACCACTTAACGTAACGATGTTTATCAAAAAATACTCGACTAGCATCCAGTTAAAATGACTATTTTATAAGATAATAAATCAAGTTTGATAATAAAAATTAAAGATTGAAAAAAAGACGTGTCTGAATCCTGGGAATAGTATCCTCAAAAAGTCACAAGATGGTTTCACAAGCTGAAACCAAGATTCCCAAAATAGCAAAATTTGTCTGTTTTATTAGGTTATATTTACTTAAAGGTTAAAGAGTCACATCTAACAGAAACTGAGAAATGAAAGATTTCCGTTCGCAGGGTCATTTTTTTACAAGGCAACACTTAGGCCCAGGTGAAACCAAGATTCCCAAAATTTGCCGAGTTGAGCGTCACGTTACCCACCGATTCGTTTGATAATGTTTAAAACGTATTGAAAAAACAAAAGCGTTCAAAGACATGCACAATCTTTGACATTTTCTTGAAATGAAAAGCCAAAAACGAAAGCCCTGCCAAGCTCTTCTTCCAACTTTGAGGCTCTATAAAAAAAGACAGAAAAACGTTTTTTCGTCAAATCTAAGAATCCAATGTAGAAAAATATTAAAATTTTCTATTAAAACAAAGCGTGAGATGATTGCAAATCTGAGTGCTCAGTTACACTTTAAAAACCGAGTTCGGGTAATAATTGAACACCCTGTATACAGCAATTGCTATTCAGAAAATGTTTCACAATAAACCAAGCTGGGTAGTCATTTTAAATCAATTTTGATAATAAAAATTAAAGATTGAAAAAAAAGACGTGTCTGAATCCTGGGAATAGTATCCTCAAAAAGTCACAAGATGGTTTCACAAGTGAAAACAAGATTCCCATAAGTATTTTGAGATTTATTAGCTCTTTTATTATCAGAAAATCTTTTTCTTTACCTTGACTTTCTTCTTTCACTTCCGAAACCAGAGTTGCTTCGGGTATTGTTTGGCAAGGCAGAGAGCAGGACTTTTGCCTTTTCCGATCAACGGCTTTTACTAGTTTTGGTCGTTTTGGTGCCACTTTTTTCACCATCGAGTCGATTTTGCGGGGTCTTCTGGAAACAAAAATATAGTTTAAAAACTACCGTATTTTCTCTAATAAAGCTTTCTCTAATAAGCCCTCAACTTTAAACGCCTCTTTCTCAGTCCAATTTTGAGATATTTATATGTTTTATATACCAAAAGATAGAAGGCATTAAGGACTATATTTTAGTTTATTAAACATAAAGATATCTCAAAATGGGACGGAGAACGAGGCGTCTAAAGTTCGACCAACTCGATTGGACCCTCGACCAACTTTAAACGCCTCATTCTCCGTCCCATTTTTAGATATTTTTATGTTTAATATACCAAACGATAGAAGACATTAAGGGCTATATTTGGATATATTAAACATAAAAATATCTCAAAATTGGACTGAGAAAGAGACGTTTAAAGTTGGTCGAGGGTCGAATCGAGTTGGTCGAACTTTAAACGCCCCCTTTCGGTCCAATTTTGAGATATTTTTATGTTTAATATATCTAAAAATAGCCCTTAATGTCTTCTATCTTTTGGTATATAAAACATAAAAATATCTCAAAATGGGATTGAGAACAAAGCGTCTAAAGTTAGGAGGAGGGAGGTGTTTATTAGATGAAGGTGAAGGTGACGGTGAAGGACAGGAAAATGAATGAACAAGTTTACCAGAAAGCGTGCGTTTACTAGAGCACAGAGAGCACGCTTTAGTACCTAGTGCTCTTGTAAATTTGCCTATATTGGCTACAGAAAATTTTTGTTTTAACAAACGCACCCTCTTCCTCTTCCAGGCATTCCTAGCACTCGGATCGCTTCGATGAGATCTTAAAAGTTGAAAAGTTTTAAAGAACTCTCTAAAGAATACTGATATATAAATCTATAAATATTGATAATTGATTTCTATGAAGCAAGAAAAAGATGAAGAAATCTTCATGGAAAATCTGGTATGGAAAATGTTAAAGAAAAGCTAAAAGATAATTTTAAAATGTATAAAAATGACCATTAAATTCTTGTTGAATCTCTTGTGATTGAATGTATCGCTGAGTTGCCTTTTCAGCTAATGAACACGATGAGCAATCGCCCTGAAAAGAGGAAAAATTGCGGAGAAAATCGTGATTTTGTGTGCTTTGTGTGTTTTGTGTGAAAGGAAAGGGGGAAAATGGGATAAAAATCGATGAATCATTGGGTGGAAAATGGGCAGATTGTTTCGTGTAAAAAGGGTTTCGTGTAATTTTGTTTTAGAGTTAGAGATTCGATTCGTATCCACGTTTGAATCCACTTAGAAAGATTCGTATCCACTCGTACACTAAGATTCGTATCCACTTAGAAACGTATCCACTTTTGAAAAGTATCGTATGAATCTGTTAGTGAGAAGTAGTCTATTTTAGTCGACGAATAGCTTTGATAAAACGTTTTTTTAAAGAGGTTTTTGGTTTTAAAGTTTGTGCTTCATTAAAATATAAGACTACAATGCAAATTCGAGAGCGATTTCGTGTCAAATTTTATTTTAATTGAGAACTACCATAATCTGAGTGAAAAAGTGAATAGATTTCGAATTGAATGAATGGAATTTGAATGGATTTGTGACAACCACTCTTTGGAGCAATTATTTTTACGTTTCTGGTGCTGAACTCAATATTTAGTAAAAAGAAAATCAGTTTTTTTAGTGGTATGAACGATTTTAAAGGAAATAGCTGTAAAGGAAGTAGCTGTAAAGAAGGTAGCTGGAAAGGAAATAGCTGGAAAGGAAATAGCTGGAAAGGAAATAGCTGTAAAGGAATTAGCTGTAAAGGAAGTAGCTGCAAAGGAAGTAGCTGGAAAGGAAATAGCTGGAAAGGAAGTAGCTGGAAAGGAAATAGCTGTTTGGGATCTGTAGGGTTTTCAATTATTACCCGGATCCGGCATTTTATGTAGTGTAACTCAGCACTCAAATGTGCATTTAAAATGACTACCCAGCTTGGTTTATTGTGAAACATTTTCTGAATAGCAATTGTTGAATACAGGGTGTTCAATAATTACCCGAACTCGGTTTTTAAAGTGTAACTGAGCACTCAGATTTGCAATCATCTCACGCTTTGTTTTAATAGAAAATTTTAATCTTTTTCTACGTTGCATTCTTAGATTTGACAAAAAAACGTTTTTCTGTCTTTTTTATAGAGCCTCAAAATTGGAAGAGGAGTTGCTTGGCAGGGCATTCGTTTTTGGCTTTTCATTTCAAGAAAACGTCAAAGATTGAGCATGTCTTTGAACGCTTTTGTTTTTGCAATACGTTTTAGACATTATCAAACGAATTAGAGGGTAACGTGATTAGGCAAATTTTGCTATCTTCGGAATCTTGGTTTCACCTGGGCCTAAGCGTTGCCTTGTCAAAAAATTACCTTGCGAACGGAAATCTTTCATTTCTCAGTTTCTGTTAGATGTGAATCTTTGACCTTTAAGTAAATATAACCTAATAAAACAGAATTTATCGTTGAAAAGTTCATGAACACTAAAATTTCTCATAAATTCTCCAAAAACAAGTGCCGTTCCAAGCAACTCCTCTTCCAACTTTGAGGCTCTATAAAAAAAGGCAGAAAAACGTTTTTTCGTCAAACCTAAGAATCGAACAAAAGGATTTAAATTTTCTATTAAAACAAAGCATGAGATGATTGCACATTTGAGTGCTGAGTTACACTTAAAAAACCGAGTTCGGGTAATTATTGAACACCCTGTATTGCTATTCAGAAAATGCTTTACAATAAACCAAGCTGGGTATTCGTTTTGAATAAGGTTAAACAGCAATTGTAAATTGAGTCTTTAACGTAAAGAAAACCTGATCAAAATAACACGGCTCACAAATGGCATGTCCACAAGACAGCACGACTCCGCGTTGATCTGGAGAAACTGAAAAATGAAAGAAAGTCAAAGGATTAAGAACATTAAAAAGTGAGTTGCATGGCGTTTTTTATGCTCAAGAAATTTTAGAACAAAAAGTGAGCTTCTTGTCTGTGTTTCAAGCTTCGCCATGGCTGATTGGTTAGTAGTCTTGTGTCCTAGTCAGGAGGAGTCTTGTGTCCTAGTCAGGAGGAGTCTTGTGTCCTAGTCAGGAGGAGTCTTGTGTCCTAGTCAGGAGGAGTCTTGTGTCCTAGTCAGGAGGAGTCTTGTGTCCTAGTCAGGAGGAGTCTTGTGTCCTAGTCAGGAGGAGTCTTGTGTCCTAGTCTTGTGTCCTAGTCAGGAGGAGTCTTGTGTCCTAGTCAGGAGGAGTCTTGTGTCCTAGTCTTGTGTCCTAGTCAGGAGGGAGTCTTGTGTCCTAGTCAGGGAGGAGTCTTGTGTCCTAGTCAGGAGGAGTCTTGTGTCCCTAGTCTTGTGTCCTAGTCAGGAGGAGTCTTGTGTCCTAGTCAGGAGGAGTCTTGTGTCCTAGTCTTGTGTCCTAGTCAGGAGGAGTCTTGTGTCCTAGTCTTGTGTCCTAGTCAGGAGGAGTCTTGTGTCCTAGTCAGGAGGAGTCTTGTGTCCTAGTCTTGTGTCCTAGTCAGGAGGAGTCTTGTGTCCTAGTCAGGAGGAGTCTTGTGTCCTAGTCTTGTGTCCGAGTCAGGAGGAGTCTTGTGTCCTAGTCAGGAGGAGTCTTGTGTCCTAGTCTTGTGTCCGAGTCAGGAGGAGTCTTGTGTCCTAGTCTTGTGTCCTAGTCAGGAGGAGTCTTGTGTCCTAGTCAGGAGGAGTCTTGTGTCCTAGTCTTGTGTCCGAGTCAGGAGGAGTCTTGTGTCCTAGTCTTGTGTCCTAGTCAGGAGGAGTCTTGTGTCCTAGTCTTGTGTCCTAGTCAGGAGGAGTCTTGTGTCCTAGTCAGGAGGAGTCTTGTGTCCTAGTCAGGAGGAGTCTTGTGTCCTAGTCAGGAGGAGTCTTGTGTCCTAGTCAGGAGGAGTCTTGTGTCCTAGTCTTGTGTCCTAGTCAGGAGGAGTCTTGTGTCCTAGTCTTGTGTCCTAGTCAGGAGGAGTCTTGTGTCCTAGTCAGGAGGAGTCTTGTGTCCTAGTCTTGTGTCCTAGTCAGGAGGAGTCTTGTGTCCTAGTCAGGAGGAGTCTTGTGTCCTAGTCTTGTGTCCGAGTCAGGAGGAGTCTTGTGTCCTAGTCAGGAGGAGTCTTGTGTCCTAGTCTTGTGTCCGAGTCAGGAGGAGTCTTGTGTCCTAGTCTTGTGTCCTAGTCAGGAGGAGTCTTGTGTCCTAGTCTTGTGTCCTAGTCAGGAGGAGTCTTGTGTCCTAGTCTTGTGTCCTAGTCAGGAGGAGTCTTGTGTCCTAGTCTTGTGTCCTAGTCAGGAGGAGTCTTGTGTCCTAGTCTTGTGTCCTAGTCAGGAGGAGTCTTGTGTCCTAGTCTTGTGTCCTAGTCAGGAGGAGTCTTGTGTCCTAGTCAGGAGGAGTCTTGTGTCCTAGTCAGGAGGAGTCTTGTGTCCTAGTCAGGAGGTCACGTATTCGATCCCAGCTGTTGGAGCCGCCGTCTCTTTTTCCCTCTTTTTTCTCTCTTTTTTTCTCTCTTTCATGGGTTTTTCTCTGTAAGATCTTTAGAAGTATTAGGGCATTATTGTTTATTTGTTTGTGTCACATTATTGACGCTAAATAAATTGACGCCAAAGTTGCGCAATGCTAATCATCTCCAGTATTATTTTTGCGGAGTTGAAGTGGATTGACTTTGGCTTGCTCCTCCATTTCTCATTTTTTTTTATTTTTTACTATTTCGGGTACAAGCCTAGTACTTTTTATTCCATTTTTGTACTAAACTTGAGGAAAATTATTATAAGTTCAGCCATTAATGAAGAACTTTGTGAACTTCGTCTCCCCAAACGAACTTTTTCTCCTTTTCCTCCTTTTTCTCTCTTTCTTTTTCTTCGAAACCAATTTTTTTACAACAATTTGCACTGTTGCAATGTTAGAAACTTGTTAGAAAACTGCAGAATGGTTTTTCAGAAATGTTGCTGTTTATTCATTCATTCACTCATCCACATCTCGTCATCTGGCTCGTGGCTCATTGTTACTCACCCTTTTCCTTTTTGATTTACAATTTAATCAATTGTTTTCTAAGAACCACGGGACGGCAAGCCTTATAAAGGTTACTATAAGGGCCGTTATAACGTCGGCCGGGACCGCCCACGTTATAGAGGGTTTACGTTAACGGTTCGTTAAGAGGTGGATATTTCTATTTCTAGGATATTTCCATATCTCAAAGCTTTTCTTTATGCGATTTATTTTTCGATAACTCACAAAGTTTCGCGCACAGTGGACATCGGAATGGATTTCGGAAAGCACAATTTTGATTCTCAAAAGAAGCCACCCAGATTGATGGATCTTCCGAATATGCGAGAATACCTAGAAAAGTTTGATTAGAAAATTTTGATTAGAAAATTTCTCAATAAAGCAAAAGAAAAGGAAACAATCTTGAACGTACTGAAAAGATAAAGTGATTAAATCTTGGTTTTGTTCATGGTGATTCATGCGATTCTATGGCTTTGGTAAATTTGGTAGCTTTTTAAAATCGAGTAATTGATAAGCTTAGATTTTAACGGATCAACTAATTTGTTCAAAAAACAAATCAAAATGCTAAACTCACTGCTCAACCATCGATACTGAATCGGCAACTCGCCATTCTCTCCGCCACCCGATGGGGAGTAGATCTAAAAAAAGAATATGGATAATCAAGTAAAGACTGGTAAAGAAAGAGTTCCGGAGATGGGATTGAATCCTCGAACTTTTTGCTTTCCGAGCTCAGATGCTCAGTGCTCAGATGCTCAGTGCTCAGATGCTCAGTGCTCAGATGCTCAGTGCTCAGATGCTCAGTGCTCAGATGCTCAGTGCTCAGATGCTCAGATCCTCAGATGCTCAGATCCTCAGATGCTCAGATCCTCAGATGCTCAGATCCTCAGATGCTCAGATCCTCAGATGCTCAGATCCTCAGATCCTCAGATGAGCTATTCATTACCTTTCATTACCAGAGAAGAAAGAGAAAATACAACGGGAAAAGCGAGGAAGAAAGAGATCTTTAGAAACTTTTAAACTAGCTTGTGATAACTGGAACTTAAAATGAAATCAAAATGAAAGATATTAAGCAGATCTAAACTTTTTGCCTACTTACACTTTTCGATGTGCAAGCGAAACATTGAATCAATTTGTTTCGAATCATCGGCGATTGTCGGACTTGATTTGAAACTTGAAAAGGTTTTGAAACTTTTTAAACTTGGGTTTTTCAAACTTACATCGAATTGAGCACGTTGCGCACTCCAAGAAACGTCGCAATGATTCGTGCATCTAGAATTGAAAAATAGTAAGATTGAAAAGTTCTACAATATTACATTCATCATTTATCACTAAAGCTTTAAAAGTTAAAAGCAAAGAGAGCAAAGCAAAAAAGAGCAATCCGTTTTCTAAAAGATATCTTTTTCTTGAAAACTATTCTAATCTAACAGCCAATTTTCATTTAATTAACCAAATTTGGTCACATTCGCTGAGGAATCAAGCTTACTATTAGAAATTATACGAAATTTAGGGGGTAGGTTAATTTCCGTCATTCTATTTTTTTCATTCCATAAATTCTCTGCAAGAAAATGCTGGTATCAGCCTTTTCTTGTATTCACTTTAATGCGTACAAATGTACAAATGTACCGAAAATTCATTCTAGTCTGTAGTTCGATTCCGATTGATGTGTGGGTTTAGGGAACTAACACGAAAGCGGTGCGGCACGCTTTCTAAAGTGACGATGCGCTACCGTACCCCACATAAAAATTTCCCTTTTGCTATTCTTGGGGTAGGCTAGTTTCCGCACCTGGGTCGTTTGCACAACTCGCCATAACTTTCTTCCCAGTGAGTCAATCTTTATGCTTTTGGTTTCATTTTGTTACACTTATTGAGATCTACAAAATGAAACTAAAAGCATAAAGATTGACTCACTGATAAGAAAGTTATGGCGAGTTGTGCAAACGATCCAGTTTCTCAAATGACCCTATTGCGCAAAAAATTTGGCGCAAAGTAGCCTATCCCGAAATTTAGGCAAAAATTCGTAGTTTGAATACGATGATTTTCTAAAATAAGTGCTTTTTAGAAAAGGAATTACTTCAAAAGAACACAAAAATAAGATCCAACTGCTCAAACCAAAGTTCCATCCACTTTTTTTTGTGGGCGGGACCTGGAACTACCTGCTGTGACGATCAAAAAGAAAACAAAAAGAAACTCTTCTCGTTCTCTTGTGAACTTTCTCGTGAGAAAATCTTTCTTTAGTCCTCAACACCCTCGGGTTATGATCATTCAGCATCGAGTAAAAGCCGGGTTTTTGGTTTTTTTCAAGGATCTATATTGAATTAGGGTTCAGCAAGGACTACTGACCATTATTCGGAAGTCTTTGAAGCTTGGGAATACTTCTTAGAGTGACAAAACTTAAAATGTCTCTAAAAATGTAACTAACTCCCTTACCTAATGCCTTTAGATTTACCAGCCGCTTTCTAAAATGATTTGACACAAAACCCAAGACGAAGTAACAAGAATATCGCGCAGATTATTTAGATTTTGCGTTTTAGTCAAAAGGAATTGGTTAATTTGAGTTTATAGAGCATAGAACGGATTGAAAACAATGGAGTGGAAGGATTGGAAAAAAAAGAAAGCGAAATAAAAACGTATTAGAATTTTAAACAATAAACTATCTGCAAACAATATAAAAAGAAGGGAACGAACGAGGGGAGAGAGTACTTTAAAGATAGTACTTTAAAGAGAGTACTTTAAAGAGAGCCAAACATAATATTAGGTTGATGCAAAAGTCTTTTTCATTTTTTTCGTACTTCTTTAGAAAAATAACAAAGTCATCAATTAACCTATGGTTTGCTCTAAATGAAAAGTGTTTATTGTTTAATTTCCCATCTTTTTAAGTCAATTTGGGTTCACTTTCAAGCAAATTCGAGAGTGAAAACGGGTTTTTCATAAAAATCTATAAAAACCTCTATAAAGAAATTGGCTGAATCAATTTCTCTGAAAATCTGAAAAAATATCTAACTTTTTGTGCTCTATCTTTTATTTATTAACATCAAGATTGGTTTCCTTAGCTAAAGCGTCTAAAATGCATCATCGAGCCGTCGCCTTTTTTGACTACCCGACTTCAGGCTCTCAAAAAAATCTAGACATAAGACATTTTAAACTCGTTTTAATGTCATTTTGCAGAAAAATAATTGGCCTTTCGAATGCAATAAACCGTTGTTCAATTGGTGCATTTGTTACTTTTTAACGGAAGTACGAAAAAAATGAAAAAGACTTTTGCATCAACCTAATAGATTAAAAAGTAAACAAATTAAAAACTAAACTAAAAATAATAGATTTTACGAAGGGAAAAGGAAAATTAGCCGAAAAATGAAAAGAATAGGGGGTAGGCTAGTTTCCGCAATTTTTGCGCAACAGGGTCATTTGCGCAACTCGCCATAACTTTCTTCTCAGTGAGTCAATCTTTATGTTTTTGGTTTCATTTTGTAGATCTCAATAAGTGCAACAAAATGAAACCAAAAGCATAAAGATTGACTCACTGAGAAGAAAGTTATGGCGAGTTGTGCAAACGATCCAGTTTCTCAAATGACCCTGTTGCGCAAAAAAAGTTGTGGAAACTAGCCTACCCCAAGAATAGCAAAAGGGAAATTTTTATGTGGGGTACGGTAGCGCATCGTCACTTTAGAAAGCGTGCGGCACCGCTTTCGCGTTAGTTCCCTAAACTCACACATCGATCGGAATCTAACTACAGGCTAGAATGAATTTCTGGTACATTTGTACATTTGTACATTTGTACACATTAAAGTGAATACAAGAAAAGACTGATACCAGCATTTTCTTGCAGAGAAATTTATGGAATCAATTCTTTAAAAATTATTTACAAAAAAGTTTGAAAATTTTTCTTTAGATTTAGAATTGAAACTCGACTACTATAAATTTCTTACTGCGTGTTATCAGTTAAAAGAAAAAAAAGCAATCGATATTTCACAAGCAATCAGCTGTTTGCAAATCAAGAAAAAGGGAAATTTACACAAAAAACTTTTACAAGAATTCCATATTTTAGCTGAAAATAAAATGAAAAATTGCGAAAAGTTGTAGATAAAATAACATCATTTGGCTAGCGTAAAACTTAGGCAATGAAAATAGGGATGCGGGAGAAATGGAATGGAGAGTGGGATGGAGAGTGGGATGGAGAGTGGGATGGAGAGTGGGATGGAGAGTGGGATGGAGAGTGGGATGGAGAGTGGGATGGAGAGTGGGATGGAGAGTGGGATGGAGAGTGGGAATGGAGAGTGAGAAGGAAAGAGAAAGAAAGGAAAGGAAGGGAAATGAGTGACGAGAGAAGGAAAAGACAAGAATGGACAAGAGAAGAACGCGTGAAATGCGTCGAAATTTCATCCAATTGCATTCAAATACAAAAACAAATTCTTATGATACTTTTATCAGCTATCTTGTCCCTTGAATACGCTTCACAATGGATGAGAAATCAAGATTTGATTACTGCCAGCTGCATTGGTAAATTTGAAATTTGAAAAGCTCAATGATAATAAATAAACAAATCAAGAAGTCATCTGCTTCTGGATAATTTATAGATCTCATAATTGTTCACTCATTTTTCGGGTATCAACTACAAGACAAGGTTCAAAATTTCAACTCTAGGGCTAGGTTTAGCTAAAAACTTGCTTATGAAAAGCTAAAATAAGGTCCAGAGATAAATGCTAAAGAAATATGGTGTTTAGAAACAAAATGCCCGACAGGGATTTAAAAAAAATATGCGAATCGAAAGATTTAGAGAAAAAGAGTTAGAGAAATGAAAATGAGACTCGAAAATAGTGAGATGAAAAGAAAGCGATAAGAATATTAGAGAAACATATCGAAAATTGATTAGAAAAGGGATAGGAAGACAGTAAAAGAAAGAAGAAAGAAAAAAGAAAGCAAGAAAGCAAGAAAGAAAGAAAGAAAGAAAAAGAAAAAAGTAAGATACATCGGGTAATTGTTAGGTTATTGCCTCTGGGGGTGAAGATTACGATACTTGATGATTGGAATGAGAAATGGGCGGGCGGAAGGAAATGATAGAGATCCTTGAGTAGGGAAGAGGTGAGAAAGGAAGGGACAATTCTTTGCGAGATGGTTATGGAAAGGAAAAGGCTTTTTGGTGAAAGAATGTTCGAGATGTAGAGAAAAATGGGCAAAGGAACGGAGAACAAACATTTTTTCATTCTAGAACAGAGACAAACTCTCGTACTGGTCGATTTTATTTCGCAAAATTTGAAGATCAGATCATTCACAGAAAATATTTCATTACATTTCAATTTACGCCCAAAAAATCCGATTTTGTGCACTTTGATGAATTGAAATAGCTAATGTTTATTGTATTTTTAAAAACAGATTACTCTTATTAAAATACTCTCGATAAACTGTAAGCTAAAAACTCGATTTCACTTTTCTAGAGCATTTTCACTTTCCAAAATGGTTAAAATAAAAATAAAAATCTCTTTGAGAGATGATAAAACGAGAGAAAAAGAGAAAAAGCACAAAAAACGTGACTAAGCGAGAAAGGATCGAAAAAATGCCGAAAGAAAAGTCATAGCAAAAATCTTTAGATAAACATTAATGACTTTCAAGATTCAACTGCACAACTTCCACGTCATTTTCGAGAAATTCTTTTTCTAATCTTTATTCAAAACCGAAAAGTAACCGTTTTCAGTTTAGGAAATCGAGAAAAATGAGAATCGATAGAAATGAAAGAATCGATCGAACAAAAAACCTGAGTCTTTTAAAAGAACTAGTAATTCGAATCAGAAAAGTGATCTAAAATAATCATAAAGAACTAGGAAATGAAATATGAAAGGCAAAAAATGAACTCGATGAGAGAAAATCGTATTTTCTGATACAATTGTGGTAAAAGTGAGCTTAAGTAGAAAGGGAAAATGAAAAAAATCAGAAACTGGAATGAAATATTTGGTGATAAATCATTGATTATTCAAAAAAAGAATAATGGTTTTCTTCGGAAAACATTTCATCGTGACGATGATTGAAAGGAGAGGAATTTGATTGGGAAACATCTTGATGCGGAGGGGTGATAGCTTCGGATTTCACCCGGTGGAATGGGTCAATGGGGCTCGGGAATTTCATCTGCGCGTACTCGACGAGCTCCTAGAAAATTCTGATTAGACAATAAGAAATTACAAGGATCCAGTTTATAAATGCCATTTATATTAATGAAAAGTAAAGTTTTTTCAAATATAATACCAGTTGACCCAAAAAAAACACTAAAATTTTGAGGTACAATTCCCAAATATCTTGGTGTTAAGCTAATCAATTCAAATTTTTTTTGATATCATTAGATGCTCCAAGTCTTTCTCTATCGATTGGTACAAAAACTATTTAAATTGTACAGCCCAACACCAAGAAATTTGAGCTTAAAGTTAGATTGCCAATGGCAAAAGGGGCGAGGCGCATCAAATGTTTGGTAGGCTACTTTAGTCATGAGTGCTCTTCACTAGTGTTTTCTAAAACTTATAAAAAGCTATTTGGCGACCGTAGCTATTTTACCCTAGTTTCTATTTCCCCCAACCAACCGTCAATCTCTTGATATATTTCCTTGCTTGTGGCACATAATCCTCGGATATTTTCTCCAATCTTTTCCCAATTCGCCGACAATCGTTCAATTTTTCTTTCGCTGCATCGAAGCTGGAATGGGAATTGGAACCGATCGAGTCGTATGCTGTGGTGAGAAGCTGGAAACGCTTTTTTAGATTTTTTTAGAGCTTATTTAATATCAGATTGGTCGGAAAGTCTTGTCCGCTATTCTAAGTGTTACTTTTTAAAATAAATAATGAACCAATCGATCTATGGTTTATTTCATCAGAAAGTCCTATTATTTATTTACAAATTGCTCTTTAAGAAATGCTGAAAAGCTCGCGTTAGTTCATTTTTTTAAAGATGTAAAGTCGAGCAGTCAAAAATGATGAAACTAAAAGTTCCGATTTGAGCACCTTTTTTCACAGAAAACTATTTTCGTGTCAAAAGACTAAAGATAGAAAATGAAAAGTTGGGCAGGTAGATAAATTTTCATGAAATTTCATTAAGCTGTCTTAATTCTATGTTCATTGCAAGGATTTTAGGGAAAGAAACGAGAATTCCCGTTCTGATTTGCTTCAAAGCGAACTTAAATTCGCTAAATAGAGCTAAATAGTTAAACTGAAATCTGAAGTTAATCCAAATAGTTAATCCAAATAGTTAATCTAAATAGTTAATCTAAAGTAGTTGATCTTTTTATTTTTTAAAGCAAACCACACGTTTATCGGCTAATTATTGATTTATAAATGAAGATTTAAAAAAGGTGAACAAGACTTTCCGGCTAAACAAATCATTGAAAACTATTACCTTTTTGAAAGTTTTAATTTTTCTCATTTTCTCAATAAACTTACATCTGGCAGTCTCTTGAATTCCTCTATAATTTTCTGATTGAGATTCGGCACAATTCCCAAATAAGTCTCGTATTGATTGTCAGTGAAAAGTTGCGTTTCCTTCAGCATTCCATTGATCTAAAAATGATCATCGTAAGTTTATCCAAATTACCCAATATCGTAAACTTTTAAAAGATAAACCCAGTGCAGTAGACAAAAAAAATTACATGAAACAACGCTTACCTTCTCATTGACGAGTTCTCTGACTTCGTGTCCCATTTCCTTTTGGTGTTTTCGGAACATGCAACGGGAACAGACCTGAAATGGTAAAGAAATTAAAATTTTATCTAATCACAGCTTTAGTCTTCATCTCAATATGCATTTTCATCAAAAACCTTGTCTGATAATCAGACACAACCGAGTCCTAGAGATTGTAAGTCAGCAAGGCCAGAGTCAGACCAAAAGCCAAGGACTAGGCTTGGCTTCTTGCAGATCCAGATACTTTTTGTGGGCTAGGCTTAGTGCAAAACAAGAACCTGACTTCTGGCTTAGCCCTACTCTAGTCCAAAAAAAATTGCTTTCAGCAAACCAGAACCAGGATGATAGTTATAATCGGGTGATAAGTCGGATAAGTAAAAAGTAAGTAAAAAAACCTAGGGACGTATGCACGTGTAGGTGTCAATACTGTAGCTTGCAGCTGCAATGTACTTTAGCTGCTGGATACTTTAGTAAACGCCAAGCTATCATAAGAGTCTTTACTGGTTTAGAGGTCCTATAGTAGTTACCCTGTTGGGTACTTAAACTGGTACAGGATGCTGGGGACATAAGTACCAAAAACATATTTTTCTATGTAATATTTCTCAAAATTTGACTCACCTTCTTTTCATTGCACGTCAAACAATTGAACATGTCATTCAAATCAACGCTTCTCTTGCATTCCTCACACGAAACTTTCGGCACATTCTGCTCGGGTGTGGCCGGGGGTTGCGAGTCCGTCAATGAACTAAAACATAGATGTAACAATGTACTAAAACATAGATTTAACAATGTACTAAAACATAGATCTAGAGTAACATATTATGGTTCCAAACACTCCAAACACTCCAAACTGAGTCGAAATTCTACCCAAACTGCTAAACCTTTTAACCCAGAAACACGAATTTTAAATGATTTGCCAAAAATGAGAGAAACAACAAGACTTTAATAGCAAGATTCGCGGCCGGGTTGGATTAACTGGCGTTTATCGAAAAAATGTCGGTACGATTCTTAATAACTCTATTGATGATACGAAAGATACGGGCTCGAAGATCAGCAAAGTGAAAAGACCGGGAAAAGTACAGCAACTCTAACAAAATTTAACAATTTTAACACATAGACGACCGCGCTGTTCTATCGGAACTGCCGTTTCGGGCCACGATTCAAAACTGCCATGTATAACATAAAAACTTGTCACTAGGGGTAAAAAATTATCGGAAATCCAAATTTGATCTTAGATTTTCACTAAAATTTAAATTTCCAACCGTATAAGTAAATTTTATCTCTTAACATCTACATCTACAAATTTGAAATGCCGTATTGCTGGCCTCAGAAATTTCTAATAAAAACTAATATAAAGTTTTCAAATGACAAACATTCTTATTACACAAATTTTATTACATATTTTTATTTTTTTTATTGCGAAGATTTGAATGCTGATAGATTGAGAAATGCAATCATTTGAAGCTTTGAAAGTTTCCGATTATCAAATCAATAAAACAAAAAATGAGCGAAACTTGAATAATTCCATTTTCATTGAATTTATGTAAGATTTAAGAAGGATTTCAAGGAAAAAAATTAAATTTTTGTTATAAAATTCGATTTTTGAGAATCCATATGTAAAGAAAATCAGAGTTTTTTTGTCGAAAATAATATTTATACAATCACTTTTTTTTACGTTTTAACAACTGAAATTATTAAATCTAGTTCAATAGTAACTAGAAATGTCGTAAAATATTTCTTGCAAAACGTTCTCGCTCCGGGGGAGTCGAAACAACAACCCCCGATTGGGAGCCTCAGATTGGCCTCGCGCACCTTAGACCACTCGGCCTTGGAATTCGAGGTAACATCCGGTTTTTCCGCTTTTTACGAAAAATCACACAATTTCTTAATAAAACTAATGCCGGATTCGAAAAGAGGACCCAGAATTACATGTCCAAACAAGTTTTCAGCTCATTTGGTCCAGCCATTCAAAAGAAACAGCCGTGACTCGGCATCGAGTCAAGCGGTCGTCTATGTGTTAAACGAAACAGCGAATGAGGGAAATTTTAACAATAGACAGAATTTTAAAACGGAGAAAGGGATATATGAAATATACGCGCAAAAGACACAGCGAAGCGCCGAACCGGGAAACGATTCTTTAAAAGAATGAATTTTGAAGGGGGGCAAAGCGGGACGCCTTCTCGGGTACGGTAGCTTAGGTGTACTTTAGAATTTAGGGTTGGAAAGTTGTCAACTCGTACTCGAATTGTTGGGGTTTTACCCTAGCTATAGATTCTATATCCAGAACGTTGTGATCCCCTTTATCTTTTCATCCACTCACTTGTTATGTTCATCCTCTTCTTCTTCCTCTTGTGCGCGTTTCCTTTTGCGGCTATGGGCAGCAACGAGAAGCGTGACAAAGCCTGGGTTTATGGTTGAATAAATGGATAAAGTCTGGATGAATTTGAAGCTCAATCTTAATCAGTTGAATCTAGTTTACTTATTTACAAAAATCTTCATTTAACGCTTACTTCGGAAATGTTTAGTGAGCACGAGAACGATCGAATCTTGTGGGGGTTGATTGTTTGCAGCCATCATGTTCCCTGAAATACTCAAAGCTCAGTATATTCATTAGAATTTAAAATGCATTTAAAACTCCTGTAACATTTCAGTTCTCAACTGTCCTTTGCGGATTTTCTTTACCTTGATTTTGTTGATATCCCTGATTTTGCCCATATCCAAAGTGTGGAAATTGTCCGCCGTACATCGGCTCCATTTGGTTCCTGGGCATCCCGGGATTGCCTTGATAGAAAGGGCGTGGCTGTTGGATTGAAAGGCCGGGCACATCCTCATCATTTCCAGAATTCCCGCTTTTCACCAACACCAATCCGCAACGAGGGCAGTTCTCAATCTGGAATTTGTGTGGGTCAAATCAAAAACTGATATTCGGTCTCAGATTTACTTGATGAGTCAGTAAATTTTAAAGCTTTTGTGCTATTTCCCCAATATATCACCAAGCCAAGAAACCAGCCGTCACAGTCTTTTTACTGGTTTTGTCCATATTGATTTCAACTTCAAGCTTCGAATTCTCCACTTCACTCACTCAATCCTAGGCCATTGTTAGTATTATTTTATCGCCTAGCTACAATATAAACAGATTTGTTCATGAAATTTCTGAATCAAATCAAAGTTTGACTATTTTAAGTGAAAAAAGGCCAAGCCCAAGCAAAAAGCCAACAAATAAACAACCGTAGAGTCTGGCCTTCTTACTAAACTAATAGCTAGATAAAACTTGAGTTAGGCAAACGATTTCACTGTATTTCTTTTGTTTTTCAATCACTCACCATATTATAGCAATGCAAGCAGACCGCATGCCCGCACGTCATCACCGTCGGCGCGTTTTGAGCGGTGTTATCTAGAAAAATGAATGACAATTCAGTTGAAAATGAAGGAATGATATTTCATTTGTCGATTTTAGATTAGATCAATAATTTTCTAGTTATAGATTTTCAAAATATCACTCACAATTCTCCATGCAAACCGAGCATTCGAATGGATTTGTCTCGCGATGCACTTCGCCCGTCAACAGATTGAGCAACGCTTTCGGATCTTTCGAGATCGACAAAACGTCTGAAAATTTGCATAAATTTTCAAAATTAAGTTCAGCAAATGGTTTGTGAACAAAATTGCTGGGGTAGGCTAGTTTCCGCAACTTTTTTGCGCAACAGGGTCATTTGCGCAATAGGGTCGTTTGCACAGCTCGCCATAACTTTCTTCTCAGTGAGTCAATCTTTATGCTTTTGGTTTCATTTTGTAGATCTCAATAAGTGCAACAAAATGAAACCAAAAGCATAAAGATTGACTCACTGGGAAGAAAGTTATGGCGAGTTGCGCAAATGACCCTGTTGCGCAAACGACCCAGTTGCGCAAATAAAATGGCGGAAATTAGCCTACCCCCTAAATGTTGCACTTATTGAGATCTACAAAATGAAACCAAAAGCATAAAGATTGACCGACTTAGAAAAAAGTTATGGCGAGTTGGGCAAATGATCGTTGCGCAAATGATCGTTGCGCAAATGATAGTTGCGCAACGATGCGCAACGCAAATGATAGTTGCGCAAATGATAGTTGCGCAACGATGCGCAACGCAAATGATAGTTGCGCAACAAAAAAAGTTGCGGAAACTAGCCTACCCCAAATTGCTAACAAAATTACTCAAATTGCAAAATGTAAAACTGAAAAATTGCAGAACAGCAAAACAGCAAAACAAAAAATGCAAAACAACAGAAAATTCAAATTGCTTACCCACAAACGCATAGTAGATGATTTTCCGGGATTCATTGCCCTGAAAATTGAGATATTTGACAAATAAAGCATTTATCTCACGCTATTTTCGATCTCAAAGTCAGCACAACTCTCGCAAATGTGGTCACCGTTTAGAAAACACGGCCGATTTTTCCCATCACTTCCATCTAAACAAGCTCTCGATATTTTTGTAGGCTTACAAATCTTAGATATTTATATTTTAGACACCAATTGCTACAATTGTTAGACACCAATTTGAGCTAAAAATCAACTACAACACATTTTTTTACTTGAGAGCTTTTCCGCACGTCGATTCGGCGTACTTTAAAGCGCGACTTGTCCACCGTGACCCTAAGTTCCAATCTTAGAGTAGTCCCTAGCTTAATTATCTATAGAAAATATAGACAACTATATAAAATTAGATATAGAAAATTATGTCTAGATATAGAAAACGCTAAGTTCCGATAGAGCTCTGTTAATCTCTGCGTCATTTTAAATCACCACTCCGCTTGACGTTCTGAAAATTTTAACTATGAGCGCAAAAACTTTGCCTTCACAGAATGATGTTCTGAATAGAACATCATTTTTCAGATTCAGAACATTATTCAGAACATCATCAAACTTGTTCTATTGAGCCAAGAAATTTGCAAATTACAAATACAGTCGACTCTCTCTATAACGGAACACTATATAGAGAAAAACTCTATACAGCGGAATGGAATTTGGATTCTTTCCATTCCGTTATCGAGACTCGACTGTAAAAACACTTACAATCCCCTCGACACAGTCCACACCGAAAGTACCACTCGTAGGGAAACGATCGTCCTTTCCGTGATTGCGTCTCATCTGATGATAGTCCGGCTTCATTGTTTTGATTGGACGGGCCGGGTTGCGAGTTTTGTCCCAGCTGTTGAATCGGATTGTATGCATTGAATGGGACGGGTGGTGGCGCTATAGGGATTTGTTGAGGCTGTTGTTGATTGGCTATTTGGATGCGATTGACTGGATGCATCATTGGACCTGGAAAGGTTTTTGTGAGTATCAGACAATCTCTTGATCTAGAAATCTAGATTCTATTTTACGACTGGGCGTTTTGAAAACGTTTCAACTTTCTACCGTAATCTTTGTCCCCAAACAGTTAATGCAAATTTGGGGTTTTATTAAAGCTTATCGCTTGAGTTTTTATGTTTGATCCGGAATTAGGCTGAAGTAAAGCAATTCCAACCTAACAGAATCTAATTTAGCATTTTCGCCTGTATTTCTACTCACTCAAAGATGGGTGAAGGGCCTCGAATCGAATCAATCCCGAATTAATCCCGAATTAATCCCGGATCAATCCCGAATTAATCCCGAATTAATCCCGGATCAATCCCGAATTAATCCCGAATCAACCCCAAAATCATTAATATAATCTCCTTCAGAACGCTACACTTTATACCTTCCAGATTACATTATTAATATAATAAAGAATCAAATAAATCGACATCATCTATCTTTTTACCTCTTGGAGTTTGCATTGGTTGTGGTGGCATTGGTTGTAGTGGCATCCTGCCCATCATAGGCCCACCGGGACCGAACGGATAGTTCATCGGCGCCATTCCCATCATTGCCGGTGGGACTCCGGGCCGTTGTTGTTGTTGCTGTTGGTGTTGTTGGTGTTGTTGTTGTTGTTGTTGCTGATGTTGCTGATGTTGTTGTTGTTGTTGCATTCCTGGATGTTGTTGTTGCATTCCGTATGGATCCATGTTGTTCATTCTGGAAATAATAATTTTACTAATGAGGCACAGCTAAAAACGACTGCTTTATGAGCTCTCCTGCTCAAGAATTTGCAAGCACAACTTTCTGGCGCACTGGATCAGTGAATTTCCTTGATTCTCATGCGGAAAGTGACGAATTCAGTGCACCAGAAAGATAAGTTTTGAAAAATCTAAACAAAGAGGAGTAATAAAGAAATTTTAAATATTAAAAGCTTCATAAGTGCAAAAGTCTGGCTTTAAATAGCCAAGAAATTGGGAGTGGGACAAATGCGACCTTTTTTTGCGCACCCGGACATTTGCGCACCTTTTTTTCCGCCCTTAGCCCATTAGCGCACCTTTTTTCGCGTTTTAAAAAAGCTCTAAAAGCTAATATTAACCAATTTCTATTCCAAATGTTGTTTTTCTAGGTAATTTGAGGGTGCCGAATTCAAATTTTGACATATCAGAGCTTGTGGAACCAATTTGAAAGACAAAACGGCTAGATCAAATTACAGAAAATTGTCGATCTTTCTCTTTGTATAACTCCGTCCGTTCGCTTCCACAAGCTCTGATATGTCAAAATTTCGATTCTACGCCCTAAAATTACATAGAAAAACAACTTTTGGAATAGAAATTCGTTAATATTAGCTTTTTAGAGGTTTTTTTAAAACGCGAAAAACGGTGCGCTAATGGGCAAGGTGCGCAAATGTCCGGGTGCGCAAAAAAAAGGCCGCATTTGTCCCACTCCCAAGAAATTGATAGAATTGATAGAGTTTATCAAAAATGAACAAAAATCGAGAATTTTGGCTAGAGAAGAATTGTAGTAATTGTAGTGGTGATATGAGTGAAAAGGGAAATTTTTTTTTCTACGGAAAATGATTCACTTTAAATCTCATATAGATGGAAGACACCCAAACAGTACAAAACATTTCAAACGACACCCCAATCGTTTCCGTTTTCTTTCAAAAGTTTCCATTACGCCAGGAAAAAAAATTGAGCAATAGAATGAGATTTTTGGAAAGAAAAGAGAAAATTCTGAAATGAATGAAAGAAATTTAGCTTTTGAAAGCTTAAGCTTTTGAATTTCAAATCTTAAATCTTCAAATGTAATCTGCTTTTTTATAAAAGTTGATTGAGAACTTAGGTTCTAGACAGTCAAAATCATTCAATTGCGCAATGAAATTGGCTAAATGAGTGAAATACGGGGCTTTTCTGAGTCAAAATTTCATGTCAATGGAAAATTCGTAATGAAAACTATGGAAAACAAGAAAACAATTGCGGGAAATAATAGAATGTAGTAATTTTTTGAAAATTTCTTAAAATCAAGCCAAATCAAAAGCCGATGGAGTGCTAAAATTTAAAATTCATCGTTTATTTCGAAATTTATCTGTTGCTTTGTCATTTTTTTACAAACTAAAGACGATTTCTCGTGGGTGAGTCAATTGTCGAAATTAAATTTCTATCCAACTCAATTAAAGCTAATGAATTGTAATTGTGTTGACTAAATAGCTAAATATTTATTTAAGAAAATGTTAAAGTTAGTTGCAACCTTTTTCCGAGAAAATCCTGGGTTGGCGCTTTAAAGCGTGGTAAAACTACCGTACACCTCCAATTTGCGCGAAATTTAATTTTTTTCATTCTGGTTCATTTCATTTTATTCTTTTGGTAAATTTTTTCTTTTGGTATGCAAAGATCTTGACACCCTTTGTGGGCCAGCCAAACGAGAAGAAGGCAATGCCCTGGGGACATCATAGATGTTCGCAACCAACTAATGATGAGAAAATTTTCGATTTAATGAAGACAATTTGAATCAACTTGAAACCATGCTCTTTTCTGGAAACTAAGCTCTTGCGCTACTTAGCTTCTTAGTTTCTTAGCTACTTAGCTTCTTAGCTACTTACCTACTTAGCTTCTTAGCTACTTAGCTTCTTAGCTTCTTAGCTTCTTAGCTACTTAGCTACTTAGCTCTTGCTAAAAGTTCGTGTTTCAGTTTTAAAGTCCCCATGATATATTTTTCAAAAACTTTTTTGCAATCTGCCACTTTTCAATCAACTTGACAAATACCAATGCTTTCATTTTTGAAAAATACCTAATTTGCGCACCAATGTGTGCACCAGGCGGGTGATTTAACGCGACTATCAGTGACTGATTATTGTTATAAATGGGCGTTTGCATCAGCCACTCTAAAATATCTGAAAAATGTCAGAGTTGTAGTCAATACAAAAGCTAGCGAAAGAAATTATTTGAATGTTTTTAATAAAAAAGAGCAAACAGTGAGGAGAAAAACGGGAAACGCACAAAACTTGTGTCAGAAAATGGTTGAAAAAGGGGTGAAAAGGATAAGATCTTAAGAAAAACAAATCGAAATTGAATTTGTAAGGTATAGAGCTAATTTTACATTAGATTTACATTTTAAATTATTAGAGATTGTTTCTTACGAGTGCTGTTTTTGTTGCTGTTTTTTCAGAAACGGTAATCTTTCTTTCAGTGATCCAATCTATCTACTTTTTGTCTGATTTTTTGAAAGTTCACAAAGGATATTGAAAAATAAAAAAAGTAGATAGATTAGATAAAAAATAGAGCCCAAACTACGGTAGAAAGCGTTCCAAAAAACGTTTTAGAAAACGCTTGAGCCAATCTGTTTACAATAGTTTCAAAAATTGAAATCTTTTGGAAAAACTTAACGGAAAAAACTCTATAAATGATTAGATCTAAAGCTGGACTTGGAAATCGTTGATGAAGATAAAATGAAGTGGAAATTGTTGATGAAGATATATTGAACCGATAGAGTAAGATGCTAATGTTAAAACTTTATAGGTAATTAGATCAAAATCTAGGTATTTATTAGGCATTGTTGAGGTGACAAGGATAAGAGGCATTCACTGTAAAAGACGTTTCTTTGCAGAAATGGCAAAAGATTACTTTCTTTGCCTTATGCACAAGGGCAATCCCATCTTTTTTGCCCCTTTCTCATTTTCAAAGACAATTGACAAAACGAAAAGAGCAAAAGAAAGAGCAAAAGAAAAGAGAAAAGAGAATAGGGTCGACCATTTCCTTTAGGCAAATTAGTCTTTTTGATTGGTTCCTATCGAGCATTTGGATATTTTTCGGATAAAAATTCTAAGAGTTTAAAATATTTGGGTTTATCAAGAGTCAAGAACAAGATTAGAGACTTTGGTCTTGAGTAAGCTTTACTGGGGAGCTGGGAAACTGGCCTAGCAAAGACTCTGATGGGTGAGGTGATGTGACTGTGGTGGTGACGTGACTCTGATGGGTGATCTTAAAAGTTTAGGAACCAATCTGGCTCATTGGTTGTTGGGATTGTTGAATATCAGGCTAACTGATAGTGTTCGATGATTGTTAGACATTAGTATTTTTGAGTGAATTGATAAAATGTTTACTGTAAGGATATGAGACAGGCCGATGCACACATAAAGAAGTAAAGGAATTGGCAAGGAAGAGTAGATTTCCGGAGGGATTAAACCCTCGACCTTTTGCTTTCCTTTGCTGCTGCAATTTCTCTAACCACTGAGCTATCCAATACCTTAACTTGCCAAGAGAAAGAAGGAAAGACAAGAAGGAAGAAAGGAAGAAAGGAAGAAAGGAAGAAAGGAAGAAAGAGGAAGAAAAAAGGAAGACATGAGTGACAAGTCTCTTTTTGCGATGTACAGAGACACGAGAGATGATCTGATCTTTTCTTTTTCTCATTTCTCTTTCTCATTCTCACTTTTCAAAGTATCCCCCTAAGCTTTAATTGAATATCTTTTAATTTTGTGAGAAGATTCAATAAAATCGGATAGCTACGAAAGCTACGAATCCGTTCCTCTTTTCTACGTAGCTTTTTCGTAGCTGCTCCTTGAAATTCCCAACGAAACTAGAAGATATTCAGCTGAGTGGGCAATGGGAACACTTTGAAAGTATATTTCTAAAGGCAATTGATAAAACGAAAAGAATAGAAGATCTTTTCCTTTCCCTTTAGGCAACAGGCAACAATTCAAAGGAATATTTGTGGTTCTTTTGGTTCTTATGACTTGTGATTGAAAGAGCTACTTAGCTCTTGGGAAAAGTACGTCTTTCAGATCGTCTACTGGGATGAAAGGATAAAGCTGAAATGATCACTGAGTTACTTCAAAAGCTGAGTTACTTGAAAGTTCCTTAAGAGATTTGTTTATTTAAAAAATGTTTGGATATGGGTAGATTTTTGAAAACTAAGCAGAATTTTTGGAAGAGCAGAAATGTGAAAACAAGAAAATGTATCACAAGGCAGGGGGTGTCAATGGAAAAGAAGGATCAAACAGATCCATTAGCAAAAAGAGCAAAAGAGATGCGTCAGAAATCAAATGTACAAGATTCCTTTCGATTTACAAAAGAACAGAAGGCATCGAAACGAATCAATATTTGTGTGGGCAAAGAAATTTGATAGATGATTGTCAAATTTGTCGAATGAAATCGATCAATTTATAGCACGGTAAAGAGAAAATGAAAAATGGACGGGCTAGGGCCGAACTAATGACGATTATTCGTGTCAACTAAACCATTAAGGATTTTATTATGCATTTCACAGAAAATTCGCATTAACTTTGTACTATTGGGTTGGTGAATTGAAAACTGCGGGATTTTGAACTAAAATTTATTCAACATAAAACCATAAATTCATTCGAAATAATTTCCATTATTATTGACGACTTCTGCCCATTTTACAGGCAATTTTTGACTGCTTCTTCCGAATCGAAGTGTTCTCCCGCAAGCTCATTACTCATGATCCGGAATTTTGTAGACCTCTTCCTTATGTGCATCCCGCTCATCACACTATCTAAGCGCGTACTTTGGAGCCCCGAAACTTGGCTTAAATCGCATTTTCCTAAGTTCTCGTTGTGTTTTTCGGGATCTACGCATAAAATTACCCCAGAAAAAGTGATTTTGAAGAAAAAAAAAAGTGTCCGCCCAACTTTATTAGTACCAAAACGATCAATCAGTTTATTTTTCTTTATATTCTTTTCAAAACCTAATTCCCATCCATTTCTTCCGTCAATTCGGGGGTGGGACAAATGCGACCTTCTTTTTGCGCACCCGGATATTTGCGCACCTTTTTTTTTGCTGGAAAAAGCCTTAGGAAAGGTCGTAGAGCTTCAAAAATGTTTTCATAGGAGGGAATCGTATGCGTAGCTTCAGAATTTTGACAAATTTGACGTGTCAGCGAGGTCTGATTTGTCGAAATTCGGAATCTACGCATACGATTCCCTTATATGGAAATATTTTCGAAGCTCTACGGCCTTGCCTAAAGCCTTTTCCAGCAAAAAAAAGGTGCGCAAATGTTCAGGTGCGCAAAAAAGGTCGCATTTGTCCCACCCCCGTCAATTCTTCGATTTCCCTCTTTTCAAATGTTATTTTATTCATTTCATTCAAATTCTTTTATTCAAATTATTGAGACTTTCTCATTTTTTTTTTCTTTGTACTACCCGTAAAATTGAGAGAAAACATGAGAAAAAGCGGATAAATAAAGCAAAGAAAAATTTGACACCGATACACAGAAATACAGATTCATTTATCAAGAAAAATAGTAAAATAGCTAAATAGAAAACAGAAAGTACCGTATTTGTTTCCTATTTAACATTAGAAATCTTTTCTTTGAGAAAATCGTGAAGCACTTTTCAATAAACACTACTCGTCTCGAATTGCAAGATATTGGCACGTCTTTTCGGGCTGTCAAATGAGGATTCCGATTCGAAGAAACGTCTGAAATTTGTTAAATTTACAATTTTAAGTTTTGTTTTTGATGAGAATGTTCTTAAAAGACTTAAAATCTATTTCAGAAGCCTTATAATTAGACCGCTAGTTTACAATCGATGAGCTCAATTTTGACATTATTCAACAAGGCTCAGTCAATGATGGAAAATTGGGCTAATAGAATGTAAACTGATTAGGGTAATGTTTCTAAAGGTGGTACTTTAATTCAAATGTCAACTCGATATGGTGATCAAATGACATTTGCGATGTCATTCGATGCAGAATTTCACGCTGATTCCGAAGCTGCTTTCCGTTTCTGATATGGAGCACTCAATCAAAAGCTATAAACATCCAAAGTTTGTATGGGATTTGAAAGTTATATAAAAAAGTCAAGAGTCAACATAAATATTATATTATAAGAGAAAAACTCCTGAGTCTTCAACTTCGACATTAAAGAAACTTTTTCTACTTGACCGATTTTAGTGTTTTTGGGGAATCGTACAGGAATTGTCGGAAAGCTGAGTCTACAAGAGGCTACATATTATATTAAATAAACCCAAAATGCTCAACAATTGCTATTTCTTGCGGAAAACACTCATTGTAACAGAACGAAGGTAGATAAAGTGCACTTCAGCTACCGTAATCTGAGTACACGACACTCTGCTCGTCTCGTCGCCTATATAAAGCCACTTCTTTCCAAGGAGCCTTTTGATCTTTTGGCTTTCTTTATATAATAATACTTTAAAATATTCATATTCTGTATATGTCGCAGCCGCTCGTGATTTTCAGCCGTTAGTGACTGAATCACCAACGGCTAGCCGCTAGTGATTAAATCACCAACGGCTAGCCGCTAGTGTATTGAATCACCATCGGTTAACTTTTGCATATGAGATAAATCTGCATTGCATTTCAAATGTTTCGTTAAAAAACTTTCAAAACCATCGACTAGCCGTTGGTGATTCAATCACCAGCGGCTGAAAATCACGAGCGGCTGCGACATATAAAAAACATACTTTTAACGAGTATTTTGAAAGATCTAAATGAAATATTTTGAAATATCTATATTTTTCGTTTAAACATAAAGGTTTAATAACATAATTCAGAATTTTTTTAGCTTAAATTTTGCCATTTATTCATTTCAAATAGCTTTCTCAATTAAATTTTGTCGAATTTACATAGAGTTGGTTCTTAAAACCCTTGTTTTCTTTACCTTAATTTTTCAAAGGGATTGAAGCGTAGTTTGATCGTAGCCGGTTGCGCTTTTTGATGAATCGATGGAACGGGGAGGTTTATCTAGAAAAAAATGCGTGATAAATACTTTTATACTCTCTCTAATAGTAGTGCACCCCGCCAAGCCGAGTTGATGACTATTTTATGGTTTCTAAGTTTTTCGCAGAAGCTCAACACTCTAATCAGCTGCAAGATCTCATCATTAGCTACATTTTCCGACCCTACATTGATAGGTTCTAATAAGCGCTTTTCGAGATCTCGAGGAATTTTGGCGAAGCAGGGAAAACACGGTATGCAAAGAGCAGGGAAGCACCCTTTGTGGGTCAGCCAAACGAGAAGAAGGCAATGCCCATCATAGGTGTTTGCAATCAATCAAATTATGAGAAAATTTTCGATTCAATGAACACAATTTGAATCAACTTGAAACAATGCTCTTTTCTGGAAACTAAGGTCTTGCGCTACTTAGCTATTGGGTTGGTGGAAAAGTCCTTTCGGATTTTTTGGGAGAGTACCTTAAATTTGTCGAATTTTGACGTTTTATAGCTCTTCCGAAAGCTGAATTCAAGACGGATCGATTGGTAAAAACCGTTTTGAGATATCTCTTTTCTAAAAGTTTTTACAGCTATTTTAGTAAAGGGCGGCAGAGCCAAAAAATAGCTGTTTTCACGTTTCGTTAGCTTTCCGTGCAGAAACCTAGGCTAAAAACATGTGTTTCGTGATCAGCTTCAAAAACAACCCCTAGACACAAATTTTCAGAATCTTAGCAAAAAAATTTTGAAAAATATTGTCACCGGTGGAAGTCGAACCAGCCACCCTCAGATCAACACTCTAATCCCCCACTAGATCTCATCGTCAGCTACATTTTCCGACCCCACATCGATAGGTTCTGATTAGCGGTTCTCGAGATTTCGGCGGCGCTCAGGGAGCACTTCTATTAGAGAAAATATGGTATTAGGGTGATGGAAATGAAAGCAGCGCTCAAATATCTTTTTAAAAATAAAAAAGATTTCAAGCCTCAGCCAATAAGTGTTATAGATCAATAGATTAGTGCTGTGCGTACAAAATTGCCCTCAAAATATGAAATGCTATTTTGAAAGAGCTTAAACTTAAACTTAACTAATAATAGGATATTTTCTAGCATTCAAAAACAGTTGTGGATTTTTTTTATTATTTCTTTCACTGTAAACAAGATTGGTAAGGTGATCAAGAAAATTTTGAGATTCAATAAAGCTTTGTTTTTTCAATAAAGTTTTCTTTTTTATATTTTACACAAACCTCAGTAATCTCAGTGTTTTTTCTTTGTTCATCTTCATCAGCTGATGAGTCGAAAGAGATTCGATGGGTTTTATTGTTTGGCACTGAAAGAAGAGGTGACGAGCGGCCGTTCACTAAAATTCACACATCAAAATTAAGGTTCTTCAAGGTTCTTAGATCAAGTAAAAGTTCAAAAACTCTTGCATAATGAATATAAAACAAAGAATTGTACAAGCAGCACTTTTCAGGTACTATTTAACCCGGTTTACTGGATGTCAATTCAACTGAATCCTATTTAATCCAAATGTCAACTCGATATGGTGATCAAATGACATTTGCGATGTTATTCAACGCAGAATTTCACGCTGATTCCGAATCTCCTTTCCGTTTCTGTTATGGAGCACTCTATCAAAAGCTATAAACATCTAAAGTTTGTATGGGATTTGAAAGTTATAAGCTGTCAACAAGCAGATTTCCGAGTGGGCTTTGTATGAATTTTGAAAGAAGAGGTGCAAAATGGCTAAGCACAACCAGCAGTGGTAGCCGAGTGGCAGTGCGTTAGAACACAAGGCAAAGACCGTGCAGTTCGAGTCTGCCTTTTTCCTTTCCGTTTTTGAATTTGCAAAGTTAATTGTTCTCTATTTCAAATACAAGTTGTTTAAAGTACTTTTCATAAAAATGTTTCCTTTTAACTATTAATATCAAACAGCTATTTGGCTATTCGGTTTCGATCGAAAAGTTTACAAATTCCGATCACTCACCTCGTTCATCAGTGGTCAGCAAGTTCCCCGTGTACATTTTAGGCAGATTCTCTCTTGATCCATATCGCAACAAAAGTGACGAAGCTGATGGGCGATGAGTTGATGAAGTTAAGGCTAACTAGAAAAATCGAAATTGTACTTGGGGAGTTTAGGGCAAAGGAAAATGGTTGTGTTTAGCGTACTACAGTGTATAAACTCCAGTAATCTGGGAAAGGTATTTGCCGGCAAAAAAAACTGACTCATACAGTACTGGACAATGAAATATCATATTTGAAAGACGTTCGTCACTTTCGCGCGCGCTGAAATGCGCCAAAAAAATACGGTATTTCTAAATATTAATATTACCATTGTGTAGCCCTTGAAAAGAGCTTTCAGAAAATGTATTAGGTTGAGGAAAAAAATAATGTCGTTTTTGAATTCCCGTTGTTGGCAATTTTCCAGTTCAGCTAGACACTCTATACTTTCATATTATATTTGACTTTTACAAATTTAACAATATTTTCAGGTACAAAATGCAAAAAGACGAAAAGTTTCGGCTTCGAGCCGCTTTGTGGTATGATTTTAAACAAGGAAAATCCGCGGCTGAATCGCATCGGACAATCATTGAAGTTTTTGGGGAAGACAGCATTAGCGAAAGACAATGCCAAAGATGGTTTCATCGGTTCAAAGATGAAAATGAAAGTCTCCAAGACCAGGAACGGTCTGGACGACCCCAAGAGATTTCAGATGAGAATTTGCTTGATGCCATTGAACTCAATCCAACCCTTATCACTCGTGAGTTAGTGGACACATTTGGGATGGACCAAAAAACAATCGACAACCACTTACATCAGTTAGGAAAAACAATTCACTGCGGAATATGGGTTCCTCATGAACTGACTCAAGGCAACAAAACAACCAAAACCGTCATTACTTTTTCCTCAGCCTAATATAACACTAATAGTTTAAACTCAAAGACAAGGGGAGCTACAGACGCGCGAAAGTGACGATCGTTTTTCAAATATCATATTTCATTGTCCAGTACTGTATGAGTCTGTTTTTTTTCTGTTTTTTCAGTTCCCAAAATAATCTGATACATTCAGCTGATGTATCTTTTGGTTAATTGAGAGACAGTTGTCAATACTTTTAATATTTAAAGTCATTTACACTACTGGACAGCGAAATATCATGTTTGAAAAAAGATCGTCACTTTCGCGCGTCTGTAACTCCCTTGTCTTTACCGTATTTCTAAATATTAATATTACCATTGTGTAGCCCTTGAAAAGAGCTTTCAGAAAATGGATAACACTAATAGTTTAAACTCAAAGACAAAGGGGAGTTACAGACGCGCGAAAGTGACGATCGTTTTTCAAATATCATATTTCATTGTCCAGTACTGTATCTTTATTGAAAAGGAAAACGAAAGCCACTTTTCCAGCTGAACACTTTATTGATTGAAATTCAAAAGAAATCGATGATTTAAAGCCTGAAAGCTTGAAAAAGCCTCAAAAAAACGCCTAAACACAACCATTTTACAAAATGAAATTCCAGATTTTGCAACATGCTTTTTCTTTTAAAAAATTCCTTTAAAAAAGGAAAATTATGCAGAAAATTATGCAGAAAGTTGTTTCATGCTGATTTCAAATCAAAGATTGTTTAGTTAGAATGAAATCGTTTTGTGAGCAAATGTTTGAAGCTGTGCAAAAGTAGAAAAAAAATAATCGTTCCCAAGAAAAATGTTTACATGGCTCACTAGAGAGGTCACTGTTTTCACAGCTTTCTGAAAAAAAAATAATATAAGATTTTAAAAGGAGTAAAAGCTTTTAAGTTGAAGTTTTTATTTCAATTTAGCCCGATAAAGAGCCCGATATTTTCTTGTAAATTTTCAAGATCCAATGATCCAATGATCAGACTATCTTTTGAGGTTTTGAAGTTGCTTTATCCCGGCTTATCCCCAGCTTATCTCCTCTTATGTCTTTATAAGTAATAGTATCTTTACGTTTATTGATGCTACAGTCAATTCATACAATCAAGGGTTTCAAATGAGTTACTGTAAAATCGATTGCTGAATTACCAAGTACAACAGTCGTATCACGAACTTTAAATTGTGTGATTCTAGAGATTCTAGAAAAATTGCTATGCTGTATGCTGAAGCAATCAATCCAGCTTCTTCAAATACCTTCTACGAGTTCTAATTCCTTTTTCTCTTCATTTCAATACCATATCCAAGACTATGGGACATTTGATTCGCGTCCCGCTCCCTTTGCCATTGGCAATCTAACTTTGAACTCAAATATCTTTGTGTTGGGCTGTTCAATTTAAATAGTTTTTGTACCAATCGATAGAGAAAGACTTGGCGTATCTGATGATACCAAGAATCTTGAGATCGACAGGCCAACCACAAGAAATTTGAGCTCAAAGTTGAATTGACAATGCCAATGGCAAATTTGATACGCCATTGGCATTGGCAATCCAACTTTAAGCTCAAATTTCTTGGTGTTGGGCTGTTCAATTTAAATATTCTTTTTATCCTTAGATCCGCCAAGTCTTTCCCCATCGATCGGTACAAAAACTATTTAAATTGGACACGCCAACAGCAAGAAATCTGAGCTCAAAGCTAGTTTGCCAATGGCAAAAGGGGAGGGACAGCGGACCTTTTATACGTGCCTGGCCCCTTTTGCCATTGGTAATCTAACTTTAAGCTCAAATTTCTTGGTGTTGAGCTGTCCAATTTAAATACTTTTTACACCAATCGATGGAGAGAGACTTGGCGCATCTAATGATGCTAAGAATATTTAAATTGAACAGCCCAACACCAAGAAATTTGAGCTCAACGTTGGATTGACAATGGCAAAAGGGGCGGGACGTGAATCAAATATCCAATTCTCATGCCCATTTCCATCCCATTCCCACGATTCTTTTCCTTTCACTTTCCCACCCACCCAAGCTGCTACCTGCTCGGTTCCCGTGTATCCAGATGGTCTAGGTCGACTCGTGTCCCCATCTCCACCCCAATCGTCTTGCCATTTGCTGAAATGAAAAATGGGATTTTTGAAAATGCAAAGTTTGGGTTTCAACATAGACAAGACTACATAAGGAACAGAACTTTTAATAGCTTATTTAACCGTAACCATTTAAACTTATTTTTATACCCTACCCTGCTAGTTAGTGAGTGGTCATTTGTTAATGGAAAATTTGTAATCAACAATGATAACAATGTTCCGTATTCAGCTTGGCGAAAAACATTTAGTAAGTTTTAAATTAAAAAGGTGTTATAGACAGGGGTTTGGAAAATCTTATTGTTGTTTTATTTCAAATTGTTTTTTTCAAAGTGAAAAATCGTCAAAGAGTCGATTTTTCCAATGATTAAATTATCATTTTAAAAAAATTAATTTTTTTTTATTAAACTGAAAATGAAGAGCTTTAGACATATTTTTCTATTTTAAGTAAACAGATAGTTCTTTATACATTTAGAAACAATGATTTCAAAGTTAACCAAACCCAATGTGAAATCTTGTTTCTAGTATATAAAAGAAAGAGTGATTCTTTTATTAAATCACTTAATTGCAAGTAGAATTTTCAAGAAATATCTTCAAATAATGCATTTGAAATCATTTAATCATTTGAAATCTCTGAAAAACGAATCTTTTAATCAGTTATTGGGTTGGTGAATTGAAAACCGCCGGCTATTGTCTTATGTGAGAGTTTGAGCACTTTCTTCAAAAGAAACCCATTTTGGTGTCAATGGAAAAGTTGTAGAGAATCAAAAATCAAGCTTATATCCAAATTTTCAGAACGATTCAAAAACTGGTTTTCAAGAAATGCCAAATTTACGAATTTTCACAAAACTTGCATTTTAAGCGAAACTGCTAAGTGTATCTTTTTGGAAATTTGGCTATAAGCTGAATTTTTGATTCTCTACAACTTTTCTATTGACACCAAAATGGGTTCCTTTTGAAGAAAGTGCTCAAACTGATCATCTCCAGGACATCTCCAGTCCTCGATTTTTGAGTCTCACACTTGTCTCACACACAAACCAAAATCCTACTACGAAAGAGGAATCCGTAAATCGCCTGTAAAATGGGCAGAAGTCGTCAATAATAATGGAAATTATTTCGAATGAATTTATGGTTTTATGTTGAATAAATTTTCGCTCAAATTCCCGCAGTTTTCAATTCACCAACCCAATAGTATATAAAAGAAAGAGTGATTCTTTCATGAAATCACTTAATTGCAAGTGGAATTTTCAAGAAATATCTTCAAATAATGCATTTGAAATCATTTAATCATTTGAAATCTCTGAAAAATGAATCTTTTAATTATTTAAAATCGCTGGAATCTCTTCTGGAAACAAACCTTGGATAAATAACTTTGATTTATACAAAACGCTTTTCGATCTTGAAAAAATGAAAGAGATAAATAAATTATATTGAAACAGTTGTATATTGTTTTGAGCTAAATCCGATTTTCTTTAAAATATCGCCTTTTTTTTCTTACCTAGCAATTTTCGCCGGCAAACAACCGAGGAAAAGATTGAGGAAAACCGAGCGAAATTTCCGACTCATCGCACAGTAAATGATGAAATTGACAGCGGAATTGATGAGGGATAATAAATCCATCAAATCGCCCAATGGAGTGTACACCTGAATGCGGGAAATGGATTGGATTGGTTGGAAAATCGTTTACAATTACAGTTTATTTCTTCGTTTTTTCTAAAAGGTTTGGAAAACTACCGTAACCTTAACGTAAACTAGCTTTTGATCGTTATTTCCTTAGGAATTTGCATAGGATTTGTTTATTAGTGGATACTCTGTCCTTACAAATTGGAGACACCACTTCTAGCGCACTCAATTCTTCAATTTTCTCACTCTGCAATTTTGCATTTAAAATCATTTGACTCTAATTTTGAAAGCAAGATTTGAGTGCACCAGAAATGGTTTTCCTTTACCAAGAAATCATTAGGGTTATGCTTAGGCTTAAGCATAAGCTTAGGCTTAGGCTTAAGCATAGGCTTAGGCTTGGGCTTAGGCTTAGGCTTATGCTTAGGCTTAAGCATAGGCTTAGGCTTAAGCTTAGGCTTGGACTTAGTGCGAAGGCTAGCGGCTAGCGCCTGTCTATTTGGGTTTGGACTGAACCCCCATTTTCGGGATCTCAGCCAGTTCTCGGAGCTAAGGTGCAGGCGATTAGGCTTAGGCTTTTTCTAGACTTACTGGTGCATTAAAGGATTCGGTGTCAAAAATCGCATTTGACACGTGTAAGATCCCTTGTGGCAATTCGGCTATCAAAAATATTGACAAAACAGCGACGAGCATCGGCGTTGTGTGATCTCGGGGCATCTTCTTTTTATTCATCACCTTAAGATAAGATTTTTTTATTCAACTTCAAAAGGATAATGTTAATCTGAAATTTACTTGTGCCAAATTCTTTCTCCGATTCGCCACATCAGCTATGATCTTCAACAAAGCGACGATGGATAAAGTGAGGAGAATACAGGGGACCACTTTGAACAAAATACCGTTTGTCCAATAGGCGATCTGAAAAAAACGGTTATCGGACACGCGACTGGCCCCTTTTGCCGTTGGGAATCTAACTTTGACCTCAAGTATCTTCGGGTTTGGCTGTCCAATTTAAGTGTTCTTTGTATCATTAGATGCGTCAAGTCTTTCTCTATCGATTGGTACAAAAACTATTTAAATTGAACAGCCCAACACCAAGAAATTTGAGCTCAAAGTTGGATTGACAATGCCAATGGCGTATCAAATTTCCCGCAATCAAAAAAACGGTTTGATATGTCGTTTAGAAAACCAACTTTTAAAAGTCCGCAATCGTCTTGTGATGGCCGAATCGGGTAAACGAGTGTTTGAGTGAGATTCGACGAAAGAGTTAATAGCTCCTCTCCATAATCCTCACTCAAACATTGCAGATAGTGCTCGGCTTCAATTTCAACTATCTGCAATTTACTAGCTTATTTAATTTCTATTTAATTTCAAAAATTGTACGTAATGATAATCGTAATGATACTGGAAAGGTTTAATCTTTTGTCTAACTACAATATTCCGGAATAAACTTATACAAACATTCAAACATTCAAACATTCAAATAGTAAGAATCAATTGAAGAATTTGAAATCAGTTATGATAGTTGAATACTAGCTTTTGTTCAGTCGTAATGCCTGAACCTGAACTTTACCTGTAATGGACTGTAATGGAAAAGTCCTTTCGATTGCAAAAGTTTACTACCAAAACCAGAAACTTCCAAAATGTTCTGTTCAAAAAACAAACAAACACAAAGCCATTAAAACCCGTTAATTCTATTGGTCAAACCTCAAACGTAAGCATGTTAGGCATATTTATCGTCGTGCAAACGAGAAGTGTGATGATTGAGATGGCCATCGTCCCTTTTACTCCAATTGCCTCCGTCGGGCCGACTCTCGCCTTTCTGATGGTGAGCACACGGATTTGTGCGAGGATTACCTGGAAATTTTGCGTAAAAACTCTTTCAATACATTTGGTTAATAGTTTTTCTCTTAGAAAATTTGATATACAAACGTATGAAAAGATTGTAGAAGGCTAGCAAAACTACACTACTGAAATATCATGTTTGAAAAAAGATCGTCACTTTCGCACGTCTGTAACTCCCTTGTCTTTACCGTATTTCTAAATATTAATATTACCATTGTGTAGCCCTTGAAAAGAGCTTTCAGAAAATGTATTAGGTTGAGGAAAAAAAATAATGTCGTTTTTGAATTCCCGTTGTTGGCAATTTTCCAGTTCAGCTAGACACTCTATACTTTCATATTATATTTGACTTTTACAAATTTAACAATATTTTCAGGTACAAAATGCAAAAAGACGAAAAGTTTCGGCTTCGAGCCGCTTTGTGGTATGATTTTAAACAAGGAAAATCCGCGGCTGAATCGCATCGGACAATCATTGAAGTTTTTGGGGAAGACAGCATTAGCGAAAGACAATGCCAAAGATGGTTTCATCGGTTCAAAGATGAAAATGAAAGTCTCCAAGACCAGGAACGGTCTGGACGACCCCAAGAGATTTCAGATGAGAATTTGCTTGATGCCATTGAACCAATCCAACCCTTACACTCGTGAGTTAGTGGACACATTTGGGATGGACAAAAACAATCGACAACCACTTCATCAGTTAGGAAAACAATCACTGCGGAATATGGGTTCCTCATGAACTGACTCAAGGCAACAAAACAACCAAAACCGTCATTACTTTTTCCTCAGCCTAATATAACACTAATAGTTTAAACTCAAAGACAAGGGGAGTTACAGACGCGCGAAAGTGACGATCGTTTTTCAAATATCATATTTCATTGTTCAGTACTGTAAGTGTAAAGTTTTTGACAAAATTAAAAAGTAAACGGCGAAAGTTAGCCTAGTGAAAACTTGTTCAGTTAACCGTTTCGACATTCATTAAAATTCATTGTCATCAAAAATTTTGACATCCGTTTGACATCAAAAATTGCATTCCTGGGAATGATCTAGTTCTAGATCTAGGAATGGTGCGATCTAGTTCTTTTGATCGTTTGTTTGATCATCATTTAATTCAGTTATATTTATTTTCAGCTTCTCTTTGCGACTCACCGTCAACCAGATACTCGTCGCGTGCAATATCACAGTGATTTGCGAGTGAAAGTAGAGAAAATACGCCCACGATTTGCTCCAATCCGATGGATCACAGCTGAAAAAGTTAACGGTTTTTAAAAGCTAGTTTCAAAACTGACAAAGGCCCGGGTCCACTAACAGCTAAATTTAGCAAACTTTTGTTTTTCAAAATTCTACGGATTTAGCTAAATTTCGCGCCAAACGATGTTTGCTTTTTTTGCTTTTTTTTTGCTGACAGTGTGCAGAAAAGTAGCTCTTTTCTGTGAAATCTTATTTGATGCTTTGATTTTGAATATCTCTGATTCTCTTGTCCCTCCTCTAAAGATCATTTGTGTGATAAAAGGAGATGGAGCCCACTTTGCCTTACTTTTCTTTGGCTTTGAAACACTGAACCAACGATTGACTATATATTTTATTGTATTTTCTCGCTAGATTAGTGATTGTGATATATTCGAAATAAATATCTAAATAATCATTGCCCCATCGGTACCCTCTCACGCACTGCACAGACAGAATACGCTAGCTTTATGTGGCGGCATCTACAAGATCTACATCTACAATTCAATCTACGAGAAACAAAACTCAATATTGCTAAATTTAGCAACTTTTTTTTGGTATTAGTACTTGTAGTGACAGTATATTAGCACACGGTATTAGCACACAATGGAGTTGAAAGGATAGCGACGCATATTAAATCTCGCACAATAGGCGTTCCCCCACAAAGGTGTCTAGCTGGCCACTTCCATCCGTGGTGATGGAAATGGGCCATTTCCATCACGAGATCGTCACGACAGCACTTAGCATTTAGCAGAGTTGATAAATGCTAAACTGCTAAATCCGCTAATTGCTAGATGGTAAATGTGGACTAATAAGTAAATAGTGGACCCGGGGGAGGGTCAAACCAAATTAGCGTTGCATAAGATTGCTTTTGAAATATCTTAATGATTACCGATTTTGAGCAGTGAGAAGAAAATGCGAGACAAAAATCGATAGAGAACTCATGACAATGACATCACAGATGGCGACCGCGCAAAGCAACAAATTCACAGCTGAAATCATTGAGGGACGAGTGAGGACGAGGACGGTCGAGATGTTCATCAATGTGCCTGCAAAGATCGAGTTGATAGAGAAATTTTGAATTTGATTTGAGTTGGATTTAGATAGATTTGGTTTAGATTAAGATTGCGAAGTTGAAAAGAGCTTTTAAGCAGAGAAATTTGAAACTTATAGTAAAAAAACAGTCGTTTCGGGGAGTGGGACAAATGCGACCTTTTTTTGCGCACCCGGACATTTGCGCACCATTTTTTTCCGTACTTAGCCCATTAGCGCACTTTTTTTCGCGCTTTTAAAAAAGCTCTAAAAGCTAATATTAACGAATTTCTATTCCAAAAGTTGTTTTTCTAGGTAATTTGAGGGTGTCGAATTCAAATTTTGACATAACAGAGCGTGTGGAACCTATTGAAAGACATTGAAATTGAAAGACAAAACGGCTAGATCAAATTACAGAAAATTGTTGATTTTTCTCTTTGGATAACTCCGTCCGTTTGTTTCCACAAGCTCTGATATGCCAAAATTTCGATTCTACGCCCTAAAATTACCTAGAAAAAACAACATTTGGAATAGAAATTGGTTAATATTAGCTTTTTAGAGCTTTTTTAAAACGTGAAAAAAGGTGCGCTAATGGGCAAGGTGCGCAAAAAAAGGTCGCATTTGTCCCACTCCCGTCGTTTCGAGTCGATATCGTTGGATTGGACTTGGGAAATTGCGAACAAAAGCTAAACCAAATCCACTCTGGCTGAAGTTGTTCGAATCCCTTCTTAACTCATTGATATCTAGGATTTTTCTGTGAGAAAAAGAACTCACCAGTCATGCACAAAACGACGGCAATGTAAGGATGAAAGTTGACATAGACACTGTGTACTGCTTGCGTCACATCGGCCACCCATGCCGCCTGGAAAAGAGGAGAACAATTTAAGAGAACAATTGTTTTACAATGTAAATGAATAGTTATTTTATAGTTTTCTACCATTTTTCGTGCTCGATTTTTTACCTTAAACTTCACCGATCCCAAGGCACAAGACTCCGTCATCCCGTCATCGAGACATTTTCAGAGAAAAGGAGAAGGAGAAAGAATAAGAAATTAACTGAAAATGATCAATTTAGAATAAGAAATATAGAATAAGAAAAAATCAAAAGAATAGATGATACACAAGCTATTTTTGAAGTCTAGCTCTTTGAAGTCTAGCTAGTTAAAGGTATTTCTTTGAATTTAAGGGTTTCAATTTGTGAGAAATGAGTCAAGAAAGGGAAATAGTCAAGAAAATAGGATTTGTGTAAAATAAAACATCATCAGAATTGCGAATGGGGAAAGTTCATTGAGGAAAAATAGAAAAAAAGAGACGAGAAATGGCCAAAAGTGGCCAAATATTCTTTTTTTTTTGGTGGGTTTTTGCAGAAACAGTTGGTCTTTTCATCGAAAAAATTTTTGCAGAGATGCGTTTGAAAATAAAGCAAAAATGGAAAGATGATTAAAAAGAGTTTCTTGTTGAAATATATTTGAATAAATTACCGTAAATACTGTAATAGTACCGCACCCTCCCTCGTACAGTCGCGTAGTCCCAAAAGTTTTTTAGTATTTCATTTTGTTCAAAGCGCCCGTACTTTCAAAAAATAGGTCTTTGGTA